TTCTGAGTACATCTCTGATTTGCAACACATCACGGGCTGTCCTCAAGCAAAGCTGACAATGGTAGGATAAGACTGACTGACTGACTGAGTTTAGTTTTACGCCGCTTTTAGCAATACTCCAGCAATATCACGGCGGGGGACACCAGAAATGGGCTTAACACATTGTGCCCATGTGGGGAATCGAACCCGGGTCTTCTGCGTGACGAGCCAACACTTTAACCACAAGGCTACCCCACCGCCCCGGTAGGATAAGAGGTTGCATTTGTGTTATTACACACACTTCTCGCTACCATGTTGTTGTCAAATGCAACTGAAAAGGCCTCTTCTCTGACCTATAGCTTGTTAGAAAGCAGTTATTGCTATTAACAGTACATGGCGTAAAGGTATCTTTCACGAACATCATCAGCTGGAGACCCTTTACACACACAAGGACTTCTCCCAGGAAGCACTGCCATTTCGAACAAACATAAAGAACGTCTTTTGCCTTGCCCGTATTGACAGAAGGGGTACGTTCGCAGTGAGGAACCCGCGCACTCTCCTGATCTGCGCCAATATATCAGGAGGTACCAAACTGCTGTTTTGTTTAAATGCCATCGAGACTTTTAAAACATATGCGATCCTCGCTTTCAGCAGCTTAATGTTTGGAGAAGACAGGGGTAATATTGGATTCGAACCCGTAATCATAGGTTGCGTTTTGTTTCATTGTCTATAATGCTTGTAAATCCTTTTCTTTGTTTCATCCCTTGAATCTGCCCCCGACCCTCAAACGTTGTCCATTGGTTAGAAATTGACTTGTTTCTTAATTTCGCAGTGTATTTTGTACGCTAAGCTGCTTGGATCAAAAAGGTAATTTAGTACGTAAGAATTAAGTTCAATTTTATAGATGTGTAGTAAGCTAAGAGACCGGTCATTTATTGCAGGAATGTGTGCGACAAAGGTTTTCTGGTGCGCTAATGTACTGAAAATAATGACCCCACTCTAATGCCTATTGTCCTATTTTCAGATGATCCTCGGGGTAAATCATCCCGACTCCACCTGAAACGTTATAAATATTATGCAATCTGCCAATGTTGATGTGATCAAGAATGTTAGTTTATTTGTATAGCATGTACAAATTAGAATTAAGAGCAGACCATTTTTATAAATTCATGTGTACAATTGATGTGATGTGTGACCATGCATTTCTCTGTATTATGGGCCAGAGGCCTTTTCCTGAATAAAACTGTCTGTCTGTCAGTCGATAATAAACCCGACTGCCATATTGCGTGGGTACTCCGTGATCTAGTTATAAAGTGTCTCACTGGAAAGCGGGAGGTCGAGAGTTCACACACATCTCAAAACCTATTTATGTTATCCTTCAGCTTCTTTATTGACCTGCAACCATGCCCCAGTGCGTGATCAGATCTACCAAATATTTGTATCTTTATATCTGCCAGACATCACACTCGTAAAGTTCCAAGAGGAACATCGAGTCAACGATATCGAGTTACTGTATATTCTTCTGTCTAAATCGTACAATGAGACGCATTGTTATTGAACTTCAAACGTACAATGTGCATTAGTCCTCCATGTTATTGAACGTTTTATGTTGATGACATAATTGATCGCGGAATATTTTCTTACTAAGCAAATGTGTATTCTACCCAACTGCCCGGAGTGTATACACATACACGTGATCTGAACGTCAGTACATGTCGATATGTAATATTTACTTTATGAATAATACATTGTCGATCGACAATGCTGTTTGAGAGTCCATAAGTCCAATGTAACCTTTGGATAAATGTATGTACTTCCTTGTTAGTGTGAGTGAGTGAGTTTAGTCTTACGCCGCATTCAGCAATATTCCAGCTATATCGCGGCGGTCAGTAAATAATCAAGTCTGGACCAGACAATCCAGCCATCAACAGCATGAACACCGATCTAAGCACTTGGGATACGATGATATGATTCAACCAAGTCAGCGAGCCTGCCTTGTTTTTGTGACTCCTGTATGGATTGTTTGACTCCTGTATGTATTGTTTGTGTGACTCCTGTATGTATTGTTTGTGTGACACCTGTATGGATTGTTTGTGTGACTCCTGTATGGATTGTTTGTGTAACCCCTGTATGCATTGTTTGTGTCACCCCGGTTTGCATTCTTTGTGTGACTCCTGTATGGATTGTTTCACTACTGTATGTATTGTTTGTGTGACTCCTGTATGTATTGTTTGTTGTCTGTGATTGTTTGTGTGACCCTGTATGGATGCATGTTTGTTTGTGACCCCTGTATGGATTGTTTGTGTGACCCCTGTTGTTTCAGTGACTCCTGTTTGTGTCCTGTATGTATTGACTTGTTGTGTATTGTTGTGTGACTCTGCTGTATTGTATTGTTTGTGTGACCCCTGTATTGTATTGTTTGTGTGACTCCTGCAAGCATTGTTTGTGTGACTCCTGCATGTATTGTTTGTGTGACTCCTGCATGTATTGTTTGTGTGACTCCTGCATGTGTTTGTTTGTGTGACTCCTGTATGTATTGTTTGTGTGACTCCTGTATGTATTGTTTGTGTGACTCCTGTATGTATTGTTTGTGTGACTCCTGTATTTATTGTTTGTGTGACTCCTGTATGTATTGTTTGTGACTCCTGTATGTATTGTTTGTGTGACTCCTGTATGTATTGTTTGTGTGACTCCTGCATGTATTGTTTGTGTGACTCCTGTATGTATTGTTTGTGTGACTCCTGTATGTATTGTTTGTGTGACTCCTGTATGTATTGTTTGTGTGACTCCTGTATGTATTGTTTGTGTGACTCCTGTATGTATTGTTTGTGTGACTCCTGTATGTATTGTTTGTGTGACTCCTGTATGTATTGTTTGTGTGACTCCTGCATGTATTGTTTGTGTGACTCCTGTATGTATTGTTTGTGTGACTGACTCCTGCATGTATTGTTTGTGTGACTCCTGCATGTACTCCTGTGTTTGTGTGACTCCTGTATTGTTTGTTTGTGTGTGTGGTTTGTGTGACTCCTGTATGTATTGTTTGTGTGACTCCTGCATGTATTGTTTGTGTGACTCCTGTATGTATTGTTTGTGTGACTCCTGCATGTATTGTTTGTGTGACTCCTGCATGTATTGTTTGTGTGACTCCTGTATGTATTGTTTGTGTGACTCCTGCATGTATTGTTTGTGTGACTCCTGCATGTATTGTTTGTGTGACTCCTGCATGTATTGTTTGTGTGACTCCTGCATTGTTTTTTGTGTGACTCCTGCATGTATTGTTTTTTGGACTCCTGCATGTTTGTTTGTGTGACTCCTGTATGTATTGTTTGTGTGACTCCTGCATGTATTGTTTGTGTGACTCCTGTATGTATTGTTTGTGTGACTCCTGCATGTATTGTTTGTGTGACTCCTGTATGTATTGTCTGCGTGCATGGTGTGCTCTATAGCAACATTGTAAGACACAGCCAAATAGGTGGTCCCAGCCTGATTGATGCACGTTTCTAATGCACTGTTCTGTTTGTATCCTTCAGGAATTACTCATTACAATATATGTCACAGCAAAGTAAGTTGGACAGTCGAAGCGACTTTGTGGATTGGTTGGTCAGACTTGGTGACTTAGTTGCTTACATATCATCATACTCCAGTGACTCACATCCTTCAGCCTTACTCTGATAGTGTGGGTTCAAATCCCAGATCATCTCAACCACGGCAAGGTACTACAGTCTGTACTTTACAGAGAAAGTGTAATCCTACATATATAATGTTATATTTGACCACTTTCTAAATGCCATTGTGTATTCATAGTTTCAGCCATGGGAGCCATGAAAATTTTCACTCGGCACAGGGGTACACAAAGATAATGATCTAGAATACCATCAGAAGCTGTGGGGGCTGGGTTGGTTAGATTTCTTACTTTTAGTGCTGGCAATTAGGTGCCTCACTCTGAGAGTGAAATGGGACTCCCCAAAAGTACTAGGATCTGTACTTCACTCATCCTCGATAATCTCCAGAGTATATGTTACGATCAATCTCCACTATACCCTGGATGCATCCACGGCTTGGCCCGATAGTTTTATTACCTCCCTTGGCTGGCTCTGCATTCTCACAGTAGCCAATCAGCTAAGCCGTCGTTACAACCGAGCTTGCCAGTGTCAAGAAAGATAGCGGTCGCAGTCACAAAGGTTTGTTGGCAGTGCCACTCAGATTTTGGGGGAAATAATACTGACAAATTGACAGATCTGAAACTTTAAAAAAAAATACATGAAAGAACTCCTTCTACCTCTTTCAGAGTACCTCTACATCAATTGGGTTGCCAAGTTTAAACGGTTAGATAATTTAAGAAGCGAAAGTGAGTTGTGATTGGTACACTCAACTTCCCAGCGTAGACACCTGATCGGATAAAAAGCCAGCCAAGGGAGGTAATAAAATCATCGGTCCAAGCCATGGATGCATCCAGGGTATAGTGGAAATTGATTGTAATGTATACCCTGGAGATTATTGAGGATGGTACTTCACTAAGAAAGTATAATATCATACATGACATATGTTGCATGAATATTTCGGTTGACAATTTGGTTTTCCACTTATAACATCCACTTTGTAGGGTCCAAGAATCAACAGCCTATTAACAGGTGTACAATCAGTTTACAGTTTACTTTTAACAATACATTTTGAAAAAACAGAAAACAAATCATCAGTAACTCCTAAAAGTTTATTTTATGGTTATCTCAACGATGCAGGCAAGTTAATACACAACACAAATGGGATTGCTGCAGGATTATATAAACACAATATATATCAATGGTCTACAAACAACCCCATCCTGAAACATGGAAACATTAGCACTATGGTGTAGAGTTGGCTACTAAATTATACATTAGTAACAGAACAAATAAGGGACTAAAACGATTGGTATTTAAAGCAGTTGTATTAGACTCTTGCTATGCATGACTGAGTTATCTCCCTTTGTATGAAACTCATGAGACGCATACAAACTTAACGCATCTTGCCTTTTGTATGTAAGTTAAATATACGCAGAAGAATAGGCGATTTACTTAACACATTTGGTGACTTGAAGAAATCAGTATTTAAAACTAAGCATGGAAAAGGCCTTGTCATTCATGGGTTAAGTTAAGTAACTTGGGGTCATTAGAGTCAAATACTATTGGAGTAAAGCTCAAGTTTTGCTTTGAAAACTGCATATGCACAGATTCGTGACTGGAAGAATCACACATATATGTGGAGAGGCTGGGCAAACAATACAAACAGGTTTAATAATCGTCAACAAGAGACCAGGAGAACACATTTAAGTAAGCAGAGATAATGCCAACAAACTGTTTCTGTGAGAATAAATAAAAGTCAGAAACTTCACTGATGCAATGAGCATATTCTCTTCAAAGTCTTTAAGTTACACCACCTCATTAAAAGGGTTTTGTCAACAGCAAAGATGTGGCATCATGCAAGGTTCCCATCTCCCTCTACTGCTTTTTCCCTTGATTGGCAACTTTCTCCATGGCAGCCTTCACCTTTTCCTGATCAGCCAGGTATTCACTGCTTACAGGTCTGAGATCTTCATCCAGTCTGTACACTAACGGAATACCTGCAAGGACAGAATGAGTGAGATCGAGAATGGTTTTACGCCACTTTTAGCAATATTCAAGAGATATCACGGCAGGGAAGACCAGAAATGGGCTTCACACATTGTACCCATGTGGACAATCGAACCCGGGTCTTCGGCGGAACAAGTGACCGTTCTTGTTTTTGGTGAAAGTTTGGGCTTTTGATTACAGACACATCTAAATATTATCACAACAGTTTATATTCCTTAAAAGGACTCTATATCGAAAACATGTGTTGTATCACACAGTACGTGTGTTAAATATATACGAAAGAAATCGAAATTTTGATTTTGAAGGAGTGAGTGAGTTTGGTTTAGGCAGCTTTTAGCGATATTCCAGCAATATCATGGCGGGGGACACCAGAAATGGGCTTCACACATTGTACCCATGTGGGGAATCGAACGCGGGTCTTCGGCATGATGAGTGAACACTTAAACCTCCAGGCTACCCCACCGCCCCTCTTGATTTTGAAATATTGAAGCAAAAATGTCAATCTAAGGTGCTGTGTCTGGCCTTAGGGCCAATGATAAAATGAGCTGATTTGGGTTTAACAATGCGTTTAGCATTGTTGCACTTACACAGCGAGATGCATGTATATATGAAAAGTTTGAAATTACTCAAAGTCTTCAATCAGATCCCAGGGCATGCAATCCTGAAACTTGCAAACCCTGTTAAAATGTTGCCTCTCCAAAAGTCTTCATTTAACATGGAGCCAAAGTGGTACGAAGTGTTTTCCGTCATATACACATATTTCAATTTCAGAGCAAGTCATACCTCAGAAAAATTTAATTCCTGACCCCAATTTTTAAACTCATCTTAGATCATAACCATTAAAAGCATTATGTTAAACTTGAGTTCCCTAACAAAAAGCTGAAAAGCAAGGAACAAGAGATATAACTCTATAAAAATGAACTTTAGATACCAATTTTCAAACTCCTTATAGATCATGACCACTATAGTCTGTTTGCAGTGAAAACGTACCGATGAATTTCACTTTAAACAAAAAAAGTAAATCAAATAAAGTGAAATTAAGATTGCGTATCCTCATAATTTTACCTTGCCAATTAAACATTTTAATTTCAGTTTTTTATTAAACTTAGGATAAAAGTTGTCTAACAGACGATCATAGATTTAAATCGCTATTATTGGTTTGTATTACAAGGGAGTAAACGCAGTTATTGAAACAGTGATACAAATGCACGTGCAGTACGTGATGAGCGTTAACTTAGACCAACCCTACTTGTTCTCGGTGTTTCATTTAATGTGCATACCCCCTTGTAATACAAACCAATAATAGCGATTTGAAACTATGATCGAATACCAATGTTTGAATACACTCAGTGCAGGAGAGTGATCAGAACACCATCTCAAACAAATGAAATTTGAACATACTTATAATTAAATCTGATCACACTCGATCCAAGTTTAATATTTGAATTTAAATATACATGTAAAAGATTTCAGGGGTCCTTTTCCTCTGCATAGATTGTTCCAAGTAGTGTTGGGAATTGGTTATAATCTCACAATTGATGATTGGTTCATTACAACCGATCAATCATTGAAAATAATTGGTTAACGTCATTTATCAAATTCTCCTGGTTATGTTTGTTAATGCACAAAAAATATAGAAAAAAATATGTACCTCTTTCAGGGTTTTGTCTTTGCAAATTGCATAAAATGCATTACAAATTTCACATCTTAAAGGATGACTAGTCTTTAAGATAAATTCAATCATGACAAGGAACGAGCTTGTAGTGCTTATGAAATGTAACAGACAAAACCAACCTTGTGAAAAATGTTGTTAATGCAAACAAGTGTTCCAAAATTGTTTGTGTTCGATTATGAGAAAACGTGATAGATTGCTTGGTCGTTTAGTCATTGCGACCAATCTTCGATTATTTCAACTAATCGAACCACCACTAGTTCCAAGAGCATGCAAACTTCGGGAAACAGTAGCTCACAATTTATATCTCGCACTACTTACATATTATGCCAAGATGGTGCTTCTGTGTAACTTGAATCTGCTATACAGCCTTGTTTGGGATATATTTCCTGTACATTGTTACAATAATATCAGACTTGTTTCATGGATCATGTAACTTACCGGTGGGAATGTTCAGACCGACGATGTCTGAATCCGAAACATTGTCTAGGTATTTCACGAGGCCACGCAGACTGTTCCCGTGAGCTGAGATAATAAGTCTTCGTCCAGCCTGGAACAACATAACAATGTTGATATGCTAGATAAGTTTATTTTACAGCTGTTGAAATAAAATATTTTATCATACAATGGATAGCGCTCTGGGCAGGATAAAGCCAACAGATATTTTCGGTATATGTTTGGGTCGTGTACACACATGCAAATCAGAGAGGTCATATGCAAATTTTAGGGACTACTTTCACAGTGTAAACAAACATGGCGTCACGCCCATCTATTGGCGATCATGTCCGGATTGATGGCACTTTGTTTGGGGGTCCAGTGCTGGGTGGCAACAAAACTGTAAACATTATCCCAGCAAAAACTTCACCAGCACCGAAACTTAGGCATCATGTGATCACTGACTCAGACAGCAGGCACAAAAATCTCGAATAAACTGAATGTTTGACACTTTGTCAGTCGACAAGTGAGCGTGCAGAATGTCACACAAACATAAACGTGTATCTGTTGTTAAAAAGGTTAATTGAAGGTTTCTGAAGTTCCACACGATCAGTAGAAAAATCTTACCAAGCTTGTGACGTAACATATTACTACACACGTATTTTTTACGTCATAGATATCTGTGCACATTCCATGAAGTTTAGTTTTATTATTTGTGGCAATTGAAATCACACTTTTTTTAAATAAGAAATTAAGAATGCCATTGTATGATAAACACGAGTGTGATAACCTATATTTAAATAGAGCTTTATTCAAAACTTCAGTCTCGTACAAGGAAGCACCTGATATATATATATATTCCAATGAATTGAGTTTTTTGGTTGGAAGTATTGTTTACATGATGAGCGTGAAGTCCTTATGTTACATGGCATACCAACTTGCATAAGAAGTTGTGATGAAAACAGAAAAATTTGATTGTACTGATATTTTTAGAATCATGTCATTTAAATCATCCTCGAGACAAAACTAAGGTGGCGAACGGTTCCAGGACCCACTTGCACAAAGCGATCTTAGCACTATGACAGTCTTAAGAATGTTACAGGAGTTAAGATCACCTTAACGCTTAGTGCAAGTGGTCCCAGGATATTTAGCATCATAGAATGGACATACAAAACTGGACAATCAAGGAGTGAGTGAGTGAGTAGAGTTCTACGCCGCACTCAGCAATATTCAAGCTATATGCCCCGACAATCCAGTGGTCAACAGCATGAGCATCGATCTACACAATTGGGATATGATGACATGCTTCAACCAAGTCAGCAAGCCTGATCACCCAATACTGTTAGTCGCCTCTTACAACAAGCTAGGTTACTGATGACCAATTTTAACCCGGATCTTCACAGGTACAATCAAGGATGGTGCTGAGGCAAAGTTTACCTTGATGTCTGGTACGATGTCACTCTCCCAATATGGCATCACCCTGGCAACTGTATCCTTCAGACACTCACAGGCAGGGATGTCAGACTTTGGCAGATCCTGCAGCATCCAACACAACAAACCATAAACTGACATGAGGGCTTTGACATTACTTGTACTTAAATGCCAACAGTATCAATGGCACAGTTAAATTCATGACACAATTGAAAAAAAAATCTGCTTTTTGAAGGCACCCAAAACACTTTAATAATTGTAAAACATCTGTGACAAAGGTTAAAAAAAAGAACAAAAAACATAAAAGACAGGCATCAAGAATATATATCACTATGACCTATTAACCCTTTTCTAAACGTGGGTGCATCAATTCCTAAATTTCACTTTGCTTACTTTGCACAATACAGTTTGGACTCAAAAAATTTCACTCACAATTTTTTTTTTCAACTCTAGCTTAATCACCTGCAGTGATAGGACAGATTTTTTTACTGTGCACCGTGCACAAAATAACAATAGAATTCAAGTAGGCACTGTGAGTTTTTGGTTTGGTTTGTTGTTTAACGCTGCACTCAGCAATATTCCAGCTATATGGCAGCGGTCTGTAAATAATCGAGTCTGGATTAAACAATCTAGTGATCAACAGCATGAGCATCGACCTACGCAATTGGGATACAATGAGTCAACCAAGTCAGCAAGCCTGACCACCCAATCCTGTTTGTCACCTCTTACAAAAAGCAAGGGTTACTGAAGATCAATTCTAACCCAGATCTTCACGGGTCACACACTATGAGAGAAATATTACTACATTTTATATCAGGAATTACACGGGTGTCTGGATTCATGGACCCAGAGACCAGCGTTACGGAGAGGGATGCTGTACGCTCCAGGGCTGATACAATTCACTCACATATTCGGTGAATCAAACCATATCCGTAATTCAATTCAAATTGTTATGCATTACCACTAGAATCGAATATTCATGAATTTTTTCAAAAGGACTGTTTTCACCTGAATTGATCAAAACAAGATATGCAAAATGGAATGCCTGCACACCAGGCAGTACATAGAAATTGGTAAGCTGGAACTTATTTTAATGAATTTAATTTTTATCACGAATATGGGTTCTGACAAAATGAAAAACAGAGTCATCAGAAGATGACATATCCCCCTGGCCCCCACAAATTTGAAAGAACAAATCATGTGACAGTTACTTAAAGTCCAAGTTGATTTTTTTTTAGACTAAGTCCAAATCGTTTCCATGGAAATCATGAAAAATATAATTGTAAAATCTGTAAATACCAAAAGGACCCACTACAAGATCTGTTTGATATACCATTCTGCCAAGTCTTGAAGAAAGATATTGAACAGTTTTCGAGTTGTGCTCCGGAAAAGAAGCCCACCTCTCCAAGTCCAAATCGTTTCCATGGAAACCAAGAAAACTAAAAATGACAAAAATCTGTAAATAGCAAAAGGCACCACTCTAGGTTCTTTTTGATATATCTGCCAATTTTTGTTGAAAGATATTGAATGTTTTTTGAGTTATGCTCCGGAAACAAAATGATTATGGACGAACAGACTGACGGACAGAAGGACAGACGAGGCATTGACTATATAGCCCCCCGCATTACATGCCGGGAGATAATAAAACAAAAACGTACAATGCACTGACATATATAATCAATGAACGATTTCATGACTGACTGCTAGGTTGGAAGTGGACAAGAAAAGATTGTAGAGAAATTGATAAACTTGAACTACAATAGAGTGAGTGAGTGAGTTTAGTTTTACGTTGCTTTGGCAATATTCCAGCAATATCATGGCAGGGGACACCAGAAATGGGCTTCACACCTTGTACCCATGTGGGGAATCAAACCTGGGTCCTCGGCATGACAAGCGAATGCTTTAACCACTAGACTACCCCACTGCCCCAGAACTACACTAGAGCCACCACTGACATACTTACATCATACTTCCTCTCTTTTCCTGACCATCTCTCATCACTCTCCTCCAGGGCAGGGGGAGGTATGTCGTAGGATCGCCGCCAGATCTGAAACAGACACAAGTTCCTTCATCAACTCCAAATCAGCATCAGTGTAGAAGGCTTGTATGAGTGAGTGAGTGAGTGAGGCTTTACGCTGCTTTTAATAATATTTCAGCAATATCACAACAGGGGACACCATAAATGGGCACCACACATTGTGCTGATGCGGGGAATCGAACCCGGGTCTTCGGCGTGACAAGTGACCAATAACCATAAGCTACCTCACCGCCCCCAAGGCTTATATGAAATTATTCACATCAACGTGATAACACAGCTTTCATAGGTTGTGTGCACAGCTTTTTTCAAAACATTCGGCTGCACAGATAATTTTAAAAACAATATGTAGAGCAGAATCTCATACAAACCCTATTTTGATGAAATAACGTTTAAATTTACACACACAATATGCAAAGTCACATCTTTATTCATGGGCTGTTTCATAAACGATGTTCAGAATGCAGATTTTGGTAGTGAGTGAGGGAGTGAGTAGAGTTTCACGCCAATTTTAGCAATATACCAGCAATATTACGGCAGGGGACATGAGAAATGGGCTTCACACATTGTACCCATGTGGGGAATCGAACCTGGGTCTTCAGCGTGAGGGGCAAACGCTTTAACCACTAGGCTACCCCACCGCCCCTAATTTTGTTAATACTGCATGCATTAACATGCCACCTCTCACCAGTGACAGGAAATAAGTTGAATTTTGGCACTTTTGCTCAAAGTTACTTTTCTGATATTTTCCAATAATCAACTGATATATAACTAACGATAATCGATGTCTATCATCCATAATAATAGCAGCCCTACGTCCTTGACATTGTGTACCTTCACTTGATCTTCGCCGTGTTTCTCTGCAGTCTCAGATTTGTTCAGCCCCTGTAGTCCTCCATAGTGACGTTCGTTGAGACGCCAGCATCGCTTAACAGGGATCCAATGATGATCAGTTGCATCTTGGATGTAGAACAGTGTCTTGATGGCTCTCTTCAATACACTGGTGTAAGCCACATCAAACTCAAAACCCTTCTCATTCAGGATCTGTTGGAATAAAATTTAAACATCTTATCCATGTCAGTGATAACAGCATGCTATAATCATTATTAAAAAATATCACATTATATCAAAGGATATACTTTGTAGTGGTGGTCTGATTAATTGAAATAATCGAAGATTGGTCGCAATGACAAAACGACAAAGCAATCGATCATGTTTTCTCATAATCGAACACAAACAATTTTGGACCACTTGTTTGCACTAACAATATTTTTCAAAGGGTTGATTTTGCTCGTTCCAAGTCATGGTTAAGTTTATCTTAACAACTCCCGGAAGTTTAGGTTCCTAACACACTAGTCATCTTTTAAAATGTGAAATTTGCAAATGCATTTTGTGCAATTTGCGAAAAAAAACGAGAGAACTACATGTTTTTTCTCTATTTTATGTGCATTAACAAACATAACCAGGAAAATTTGATAAATGACGCTAACCAATTATTTTCGATGATTGATCGGTTGTAATGAACCAATCATCAATTATGAGATTTACACCAATACCCAACACTAATACTTTGTGGACAGAAGCAGTAATAAAGTCTTCATGATCATCATGTCTAAGATACTTCATGAACAATATTTGTTTGTTTTGTTGCTTAATGCTGCATTCTTCCAGCTACTTGGTGGTGATCTCTAAATAATTGTGTCTGGACCAGACAATCCAGTGATCAACATCATGAGCATCAATCTATGGAGCTGGGAACCGATGACATGTGTCAACCAAGTCAGCAAGCCTGACCACCCGACCCTCGTTAGTCGCCTCCGATGACAAGCATGGGTTGCTGAAGATCAATTCTAAATGGGATCTTCACATGTAGAACAGTATTCAACACTGTAGCAGACTAATCAGGGCTTGACATCCACCCAAATTCCCGAACAAGACCGCAGGACCAGTAACTTTTAACAATCACTGGTCCTTACAGATTCTTACTGGTCCTGCTAAGGGACTCTTATTGACAGACGTAAATATCTACTGGATATCAAAGTTGCACTGGTCCTGTCAACATTTTACGACTCGGGCCAGTGGGATAGCGTGAATGTCAAGCCCTGATAATCACCCATTCTCACTAATGAGGTGCAATTGATGTCGCCAACCATTTGTTCAAAATCCAACAAATATTGTGCCCAGTATTTGCATTATTTACAAAGTCATATACTCGCCCTACCCACTAAATACTGATTTCAGGCCTTCTGTCCTTATATTGGCAATGCAGGAAAAGTCAAAGTGGGCTAAACTATATGTACGTTAATGTCGCCATGTCGTAGACGATTCACTTAGTTAACATTTTTGGTTAATACTGTCATTTTGATATTGCAGTTTGAGTTTCAGATTATGCATTTAAAGAACAATATACTTATTATGCAGCATTCAAATGAGAATAAACCATCCAAATCGGAATAGTTATAGAGCGTTGAAACGTTGTCGCCAAACTTTGGATACATACGTTGTGTTTTTCTGGATGACAGTGTAGCAGCATACCTTTCTGGCTTGAGGTAGTTACAATATCAATTATTTGTAGTCAAAACATTTACCATTTTAATTACAACAGGTTTTTACTATAAGTATAGTTCAATATTGGAAAAAATACTATTCAACACCATGAACAAGATGCGTAGAAATCAAGCAATACATACGTTATCATGCCAATAAATACTTTAATATTTATACCACTTCATACGAAACATTATACCAACAACACACATTTCTAGTATTGTACAGCTCATATCACGATCAGTAGTGTGTATAGATTTACGAAAATGAAAATGACAACCATTGAAAATAAATACGTAACCGATACATACGTTATTAGAAAGTACGGAACTAAGAGATCCAAACTATATGATTAGATTACCTCCTTCTTGTGACGACAGTTTGGTTTGGAGGGAAATCATATCAGTTGAGTTTCATGAGGTAATGTTGTTTAAAATTCAGTTAATAGCATGCATAATTAAAGACATCATGTTAAACATGTTACAAAGTGTAATTCTTTCAAATTGTCATGTGTTTTAACTAGCATCATAACAAACAGGAAAGCGATGCTGATGCTGTTACCGCATCATTTGGTGGTCCAGTTTTCGATCAAGGCATGCTAAAGTAACTGATACATACGTTAGCAATGGTAACTTACCGTTGGTAAACAACATTTGTTGAAGGTTTCAAATGTGAATTTCATATCATTTGCACCCAGAAACTTTGGGTTTATAAAATATTAAGACTTAAACTGGCTATCAGTGTTATTTAATGCTGTTTTATTTTCTCATGAGCTCTGTGTCTCCTCTCTGAATGATATGAATATTGATGTGAATATTTGATAGTTTAATGGGATGAAAGGATTGATGTACAAATGAAAGGTACTTTAGTAGCTTATCAGACAGGTAATATATTTGTAATAACATTTGGATTAGTCCTGGATCTATGTTATGTGAAAGGGCATAATAATATGGTAACGTATGTATCGAAATGTATTATACATACGTTACTCATTTGTTTCTTATTCCAGATGGGAAAAAAGAGAGCAGAAATTCATAGAGAATATCGGGAAAGGCAGAACCGTCTTCCTTGAGAAACAACGATTGAGGATACAGTCCTATTATGTTCCTTTTGCCAAATTTATGACGATAAATATTGATTACCCGATATTTTCTTTATGTAATACGCTAAACAGTAAAGGAAGAAAAGACAGAATCTTGTAATCCTAAAAAAGGATGTTGATGTGTTTTAATTGATGTTTTAGGTCAGAAAAAGTATTATTCTTCATGATAAAAACCTTAATTAGTAAGGCTGTAACGATTCACTCGCATATTCGGTGAATCGAACAGTAGCCCTTCATGAATTCAATTCGTTATTCGTGGTCACCAGAACCGAATATTCATGAATATTTACAATTTTTTTAAGGGAGTGTGTTTTACTTGAACCCTTATGTCCTTTTTCAAAACGAGATATGCAAGAATGCAATATGTATTAGCCTTGTAGTAGCCCAAGTCATGTTAGTTTGCCAAGGCTGCACATGTTACTGTCAACTATAACTATTACATACTAAATTTGAGTGTCATGAGATGACTGGTGAGACAAATTAACACTGTCAACATGGGCATTCAATATTGTGCATCAATGACTAAACTACAATATTGTATTCATGAATAATTATTCATATTCGTTACCTAATATTCATGATACGTATCATATTCGCAACAGTGTATTCATTACAGCCCTATGACCAGTACATAGTATTGAAACAATTGAAAGTTGGGCATCATACGTTACTGTTACGTGTTTGTACTGCAAAAAGTGAATTTTCGTGAATTTTATGTTGTTGCAACTGCCAATCGATCAAGTATTTTGCTACTCATTTTTTGGTCTACTACGCCCACAGATTGTTGGCAAATCTAGTTATCAGGTTTGATTTGAGACTGTTTTTTTGCAATTTGTTGGTATTTTTTATATGAAAAATCTGAGTAATATTGGCTAGTGTTGGGAATTGGTTAAAATCTCATAGTTGATGATTGGTTCATTACAACCAATCAGTCATCGAAAATAATTGGTTGGCTTTATTCATCAAATTTTCCTGGTTATGTTTGTTAATGCACAAAAAATAAAGAAAAAAATTTTAGTTCTTTCGAGATTTTTGCAAATTGCACAAAATGCATTTGCAAATTTTACATCTTTAAGGGATGACTAGTATGTTAGGAACATAAATTTCCGGGAGTCTTTAAGATAAATTCAACAGGGAACGAGCTGGTAGTGCTTATGAAATTGAACAGACAAAACCAAGCTTGTGAAAAATACTGTTATAGCAAAAACGTGTTCCAAAATTGTTACTGTTCGATTATTAGAAAACATGATCGATTGCTTGGTCGTTTCGATTATCTCGATTAATTGGACCACCACTAATAATGACAAACAATGTGTGTAAGTCAAAGGACTTCTAAAGTTTTGAGCAGACATGTATGTTCCTAAATCGCCTAAACCAATGTGGTTTAATTAAAAGGTTACTCAAATAATTCATCACATTGTCACATAATTCTCTAGTCAGAAAAACTAGTCATGTACACATCACTATCAGATGATAATATTTTATAATGCAAGGTGCCCCATTTCCATACCAGCTGTATGGTTATTTGTAAAATGGTGCTGCTGAAAAAGTGATATGTAACATACCATATGCCAAACTTTCCAAATAAAATGTGTTTGCTCGTATTTTGTGTATTCGGTTTTTGACTTACAACGCTTACCCATTTGCACCTCTGTGAGAATGGACATAATACAGAAATCCCCATAGGCATTTTGGACAGGGTTAGTCCCCAGCACACGATCATGTGACTACACCTTTCATATCATGCAGTGCAGTGGGTTACCCTAGTGATTAAAGTGTTCGCTCATCACGCCGAAGACCATTGTACATGGGTACAATGTGTGAAGTCCATTTCTGGTGTCCCCCGTGATATTGCTGGAATATTGCTAAAAGCGACGTAAAACCATGCTCATTCACTCACTCACTCATATCATGCAACTAAGTAGATTGTGTTGACAGTCAGGGTATTCAAGATATACCAAATAGTACTGATGTTATTAACATACTGAATTCATTAAAGTCATTTCCATGAATTAGAATCACAAAATGTACATATTTATTCATGAGAGTTGTGTAGTTACGTATCATGAAATCAAATGCATCTCTGCATGATGTTTGTAGAATTACATATTTTTATTGAGCCATTTGCTGCTTATAACCGAGTCATTGTTTGAGAGGTTTTTGTGGGGCAGTGTGTAGTTTTGGCTTGTTTCGGGGTTTTTTTTCACATTTAGCATGTTTAGAGGGAAAGACTTCTGCCCGTATCCCCCCCTTAAATTTCCTTCTAGTTAAATTATATCACCTGAATATATATTCCTCATCTGATAGATTCTAAGGATGCGTTTTAACGTGTTTCTTTAACTGTTCTCTAACATACTGAAAGACATATCGGGAGTACTGCACTTTGCCGGGCGCACTTTTTCAGATTAATTAGCGCTGTTGGGGTTCCCTAACCCTAACCCTAACCCTAAGGATCGTAAAGGGTGCCTAACCCTAAACTCTAACCCTAAGGATCGTAAAGGGTGGCATACACTGACTAACTGTAACTTGGTTACATGTTGACTGTAACTTGGTTACATGTCGACTGTAACCTGGCTACTGACTGTAACTTGGTTACATGTCGACTGTAACCTGGCTACTGACTGTAACTTGTTACATGTTGACTGTAATATGGCTACTGACTAACTGTAACTAGGTTACATGTTCACTAACCTGGCTACTGACTGACTGTAACTTGGTTACATAGTGACTGTAACCTGGCTACCGACTAACTGTAACTTGGTTACATGTTGACTGTAATCCGGCTACTGACTGTTAATTGTTACATGTTGACTGTAACCTGGCTACTGACTGACTGTTAATTGGTTACATGTTGACTGTAACCTGGCTACTGACTAACTCTAACTTGGTTACATATTGAATGTAACCTGGCTACTGACCAACTATGCAGTACCTCATTCGCTCTGGACAGCCATTACCGTAAAATACAAAATTAAAAATAAAACTGAAAGAGGATCCAATATAATACAAGTAGGCAAGTAGAGTAATACTGCGAATACGGTACAGTGAACTACACCAGTCGGGACTGGGGAAAATGTTGTATTAGACCAGATCGTGACCATAAACAAAATTATATTATTTATTATTCTGATTAGATACCTGTTGTTGGATTAGTGAAGTGGGTTCATTTTACGCCGCTTTCAGGAAATATTCCAGCAATATCACGGCAGGGGACACCAGAAATGGGCTTCGCACATTGTACCCAGCTGGGGAATCGAACCCGGGTCTTCGGCGTGACGAGCGAACGCTTTAAAAGGTCACATAAACCCTGGGGTACAAATACATAAATCACTAACTGGCATCGTTATAAATGAAACCCCCAAGTCATTAAAACTACTCATTTCGACCTTTAATTGACTTAAATCGACCTTTTGACAACAGTGCACAATTCTCACCCGCGAACGAAATTTCAACCAATCAGAGCGGCGCGCCTCTGTGACGTCATATGAGGAATAGCTTTGAGAGCCGATGCAGAATTCATCTACATTTTAGGGGTTAAATTATCTTGTTTACAGGCTTGTATAAACCCTGAAATCGTGACAACTGTTGTGGAAAATGAAAGCTATATGTTCTCACAATCTACTGTCATTTAATTTTGTCTCCTGCTTTGCCTAGTTTCCGAGTTACAACTTGTTTTCATAAACGATTCTGTCAAAATCGATTGGTGTCGTTAGGCCCCTATTTGTATAATGACAGATCCAAATTGATCCCATTTCTGTGTTGTTTTACCTCGATATTTAATCATGTCATGTAAAAAAATCTGTTTGTATTCCTCAAAACGAGTGTCGGCCCATAAGTTTTCACATGCAATACAGCAATTAATACTCCCTCGTTGTAACCCGTGTTAGGTGGTATAAACCTACACATGCTATTTGTCATCATTCTGCTTATAACCGAGTCATTGTTTGAGAGGTTTTGTGGGGCAGTGTGTAGTTTTGGCTTGTTTCGGGGTTTTTTTCACATTTAGCATGTTTAGAGGGAAAGACTTCTGCCCGTATCCCCCCCTTAAATTTCCTTCTAGTTAAATTATATCACCTGAATATATATTCCTCATCTGATAGATTCTAAGGATGCGTTTTAACGTGTTTCTTTAACTGTATCTGAACATACTGAAAGACATATCGGGAGTACTGCACTTTGCCAGGCGCACTTTTTCAGATTAATTAGCGCTGCTGGGGTTCCCTAACCCTAACCCTAAGGATCGTAAAGGGTGCCTAAACTCTAACCCTAAGGATCGTAAAGGGTGGCATACCCTTACCCTAAACCCTAAGGATCGTAAAGGGAGCATCGAGGGCTGCGCCCGGTAAAGTGTAGCCGTCTTACTAAATAATATCTGGACAGATCATAATAAAGCGTCATATTCTGCTAGCATTGTCTAAATCATAAATGATCTTGACTTAAGTCAAGACTAATAGTACCGGTAATCAAAATCTGAAAATGTCACCTCTCCTGCGCTTTTCGCCTCTGCAATGCCTGTCTCAGATAAATCTGCATCGTGCCATCCGCAAAATTTGTTGAGTTTATTCCATTCGCTCTCACCGTGGCGGACAAGCACCAGGGTATATTTCACTGGTTTTGTGCTACCCTCCTTGGTGGCCATGGTCGAGTATGATAAGTTCGAGAGGACGACCTTGAGAGTGTGTTGTCCTTGGCCCAATGTCTTCCGCAAATAATTCGGAACGTCTCGGATATCTCCGGCAAGCAACTTGTCTGTGCGTAATGCCCCGAGTTTCAATAAAATGAAAATTGTAGCTCCTAATGCTAAGCATTCTAAGGGAGGTAATTCATTTTACAGACCAACTATTTTTCTCTGTACTATACGTTTGCAGGTTCGTACCTCCCTGCGAGAAAAACCAAATATGGTAATGTTGTTAAAGTGCTCTTTGTCAATGTTTTGGGGCCGTTGTTGGCATTCATTCAACCTAGAACGATCTACATAAATGCAGAGAGGCTGCTGAAATGATGAACAACCATTAGGCATCTGTGGAATTGCTTCATAATCAAAGACGTATTTGCTTCAATGATTCTACAAAGCATAGTAAAGTCTAAGTGCAGTCAGTGTGCGAAATAGCCACTGGCCCGCTAGCCCGTGGCTTGTGAAAGTCCAGTCGGGCCAGTAAATTTCCAAGTCACTGGCCCGACTTGCTAGTGAATTTTCATGGGGTCATGTTTGTTTTTAATATATCACTCGGCCTTATATAATGCACTTTTAAATCATGCAAGATTAGTTTCTTCTTTCAGATTTTGGGCTAGTGAATTATTTGTGGGCTAGTAACTTTCAGGCATAGCCTGCCCGACTGGCAACTATTTCGCACACTGAATGCAGTACCTCATTCGCTCTGGACAGCCATTACCGTAAAATACAAAATTAAAATAAAACTGAAAGAGGATCCAATATAATACAAGTAGGCAAGTAGAGTAATACTGCGAATACGGTACAGTGAACTACGCAGTCGGGACTGGGGAAAATGTTGTATTAGACCAGATCGTGACCATAAACAAATTATATTATTTATTATTCTGATTAGATACCTGTTGGATTAGTGAGGAAGTGGGTTCATTTACGCCGCTTTCAGAAATATTCCAGCAATATCACGGCGGGGGACACCAGAAATGGGCTTCGCACATTGTACCCATGTGGGGAATCGAACCCGGGTCTTCGGCGTGACGAGCGAACGCTTTAACGCCGCCCACCACCGAACCCGCCCAGCCCCGCCGCCTCTCCGCCCCCGTGCTGGATTAAACAGAGTTTAAAGGGTGTCTTCCCATTCTGCCTACAGTTCCATTCTGCCTACACGTTAAAACAACATGATACGGTCCAGTGACCAGGAAGTAAGATTAATGTGCTGACCTAATCTACCCTTACTAAAAAGTCTATTCCCATTCTGCCTACAGGTATTTTTGTAGGCAAACTGGGATGTAGGCAAATTGGGATTGTAGGTAGAGTGGGATGTAACCGAGTTAAGTTGCTAAATGCACTCGCAGTTCAATATCCTCTTAATCCGTAATCCAGCGTATCAATAAAGGAAACAAGGTTTAACAATTTAAGGATTAATTTAACCTGCGTGTTGCACCAAGCATGAAACGTCACATGGTTGGTGATAGATTAATCTATGTTAACCATTACTTGAGTGTTTATTGACGAAAGTGTGGTAAGTACATGCAATCTGCAAGTAGGCATCGTTGCTTATGCATAAGAATACAATACTGAGTTTACTGAAGGTCGTTGTTGTGTTAACCCAGAAGTCGGATTATGTAGTGGATTTACACGTAGGACCACAAAACATCGTCCGAATTTTTCGGGGAAAGTCCTCTCCCCAACCCCATCCTCTGGATGCCCCCCTGAGATAAAATGTCAGGTTACACAGACTCTGCAGTCTATTTGTTTTTAAAATATACAATCTTGTTGATACAAAGATTTGTAATCTATATTTTATCGTACAATACCCTCCGGAATATATAGAGGAAATAACACATGAATTCAATCAAGTAAACAAAACCACGAAAAAAGAGGATGTCAAAGTGTGAATAGTGTGAATCGTTGTTTATGATATCAACCCCTGGACTGTCTGGTGTAGCCTTTATTTTTTTCAGACCCCTGTCATATAGCTGGATTGATTGGTTGTTGTTTAACGCCGCGCTCAGCAGTATTCCAGCTATATGGCGGCGGTCGGTAAATACTCGAGTCTAGATCAGACAATCCAGTGATCAACAGCATGAGCATCGATATACGCAATTGGTATACGATGACATGTGTCAACTAAGTCAGCGAGCCTGACCCCCCGATCCCGTTAGTCCACATATAGCTTGGACAAACAAACTAATATCAAGATACCCAACACGACAGTGTAATCTAACTTGAGAGCTACAACTGCAGCAACCGGACTGGGATCTGGACCCAGCAGCACAAAGCGAACTTAGCGCTACATCTATCGTAGGCCCATGCTTAAGTATTGGAGTTACGATCACTAGGACAGATTTGTGTAACGGGGTCCTAAACAGGCAAAGAAACAAATGATTAAATTAGTGTTGAGATAAATACATTTTAATTTGGAACCGAATGAGCAATTTGTTCTCCTCCACAAAAAGTAAATGCAATCCGTAAATTTATGACGGTTCCCCGCTGTATTACGCCGGAGGTGTGCCACACTTACTATCTGTCAGTCCCGGCAAATATTTGTTTGATTCTTATACCCCGACAATGCCAATTTAGTTTTACGCCACTTTTAGCAAAATTCCAGCAATATCAGGGGGACACCACAAATGGGCTTTCCCGACAATTATCAAGTTAGATTCGAGGATCCCTCTTTCTTTGCTTGCTACTTCATATCTTACCATGTATATTAATTAAGAATTTAAGGAATATCCAAGAGATTGAACAGAAGCTATGTCTCAGTGTCCCTGGTGGCTACCTTTAGTGTTTAGAGTTACCATAAGTACATATATATGGTACCCGTGAATCGTTAATCCTGTAATTGGTAAATTGTCAGAACAAGACAGGAAATACCCATAGTAAACTATGCATATACTTGAGATAAACAGTGATAATTATTGTTCCTGCTTTATTATTTTAAAGAAAAATTGCTTGAATGAAAACAGCATGAAATTCTCACTTGAGCAACACGTGCGTCATTCCTTAGCGGCATTCCACCAGTGTTGGAATGCGGAAGAGTTATTCCCCTTGCATTCCGAGAGGCGCTGCAGTGGCCTAGCACTTGTCGGAGAAAAACAGAAACGGAAGATATTGCCAATCAATCAATCAGCCACATTCGCAATACAGAAATTCTTTGTCAGTCTGGATAGATCGCGATGACCTCGTAGTTATACAGGTGTCCTCTATGTTGCAGAACTCTGCAACAAGGTAAGCTTTTGCATCGATGGGCGTGAAGTATGTGACAACATTATTTCCGTGTAAATTATTGACAGGAGTGAAAAGCATTCAACATGTTCAAGAAACATTTATTTTTGTTATATTTCAACCTAGGTGATACTGTAACTGATGTTGTGATAATATTCAATGATGTGGTGCACTTATTTCTAGGCAGATGGTTTTTGTTTTGTGTTTTCATAATGATAATGTGTCATCAAGACAAGAGCTAGAATTTTATCATTGACAGATCTCGTCATTTCCTTTATATGGTTCTGTTTATTTACTGCATTAGACTATTTCTGATCTTTTGATCTGATCCATGGATCCACAAGATTGTGGTGTGAACGCACAAGATAATGTGGATTGTTTGATGAATTATCATGCTTAATAGGGATCAATGTGAGTAGTTCTTTCTCTGACATGAAACTGTGAACAATGCTAAATGTAGCTGAGGGCACTGAAGGTGCCATTTCTCAATGTCGAGATGCATGTACCCTAGAAAATATAGGAATACGGAACAGTACATGGAAATGGTAGACAAGTCCATATTTTTCAACTCAAAACCGATATTGGTTCATGTTGTTGTGGTGACTTGCCTAATCACCAGTCTTGCTAATTATGGGTGCATTGTGGATAATGCTGTGCTTCTTGTAATGCATAAGAGTTGCTGTATGTACTGAGGCAATGGGGTAGCCAAATGGTTAAAGCGTTTACGTGTCAAAGACCTGGGTTCTATTCCTAACATGGGTACTGATATTGGTTCCTGTTGTTGTGGTGACTTGCCTAATCACTTGTCTTGCTAATTATGGGTGCATTGTGGATAATGCTGTGCTTCTTGTAATGCATAAGAGTTGCTGTATGTACTGAGGCAATGGGGTAGCCAAATGGTTAAAGCGTTTACGTGTCCGAAGACCTGGGTTCTGTTCCTAACATGGGTACAAAGTGTAAAGCCCGCTGCTGTGATATTGTTGGAATATTGCTAAAAGCGGCATAAAACCATACTCAGTCCCTACTGTATGTATGCCACTGATTCTCATACAGCAGAAAGACGGTTCTGATCAGAGTTAAGGAACAGGATATGCACAATGTAGAATGGATTCATCCTTGGGAACCCCATCAACCTAAATATTACAGGGACATGTCAAACAGGCAGTGGCCTCATTGTTTTGAAATCATCACCAGTTTCAGCAGAGACCATATATAAATTCCTGTACGAGACTGATAATGGCAGATGTTTCAATCCTTTGCCTAAAGTAAAGTTCTGTGCATATGTGTTATTGTTCACAACTCATATATCCTAAATATGTTAAATCCACTGACTGCCATACATGGTGAAATCCATATTTTACTCTTATAAAAATCGGGGCGGTCGGGTAGCCTAGTGGATACAGCATTCGCTCTTCAAGCCAAAGACCCGGGTTCAATTCCCCATATGGGTAACACGTGTGAAGCCCATTTCTGGTGGTGCTGGAATATTGCTAAAAGCGACGTAAAACCATACTCACTCACATTTATTATGTTTATGAAAATCACATAGTCAGATATTGTTTAGGGAGTATTTTGGTCTGTGTCAGGCAAAGACAGGGTTTATGTACTTCTTATTTGTAATATGCTTGTGGTGGTAATAGTCACGGACTTGAATGTTTATGTTGATAATTAATCGGAGCTGTCAGTTTGATTAACACAATGATTAATAATCCATCATTATTGAATTTTTCCTCATGAAAATGAATAGTATGACATGATCCATTTGATTCGGTCGTCTGATAAATTTGTCTTTGCATATTGTAGCTATGGATCTGTTAGATGTGATGGCTGTCATTTATAATTTTTAATGTGAACATGGTGAAGATTGATCATGTAACTGAATATTTGATCAATCTCTCTGCCACTACAAGCTTGAGCTTATTAAGCTTGGCTATCTAAATTATAATCAGAGTAATGTTTTTCATGTTGAATGAGTCAGTAGGACATTTCTCGTCATCCTTCTCTGTAGACTTACACATGACTTCAGGTAGTCTGTCATACAGACTCTGAAGCAAATATATCCAAGAACGCCCACGCATGTCTAGAAAATGTGGCAAGTCTAGATTTCCACAACTTCTGAAAATGAAGAAAGTCTCTGGGCTCCTTTTTATTGTATTTATAATTTTAATTTAAGAACTTTTATTTTCTCTAAAATATGTTCATTTCAGAGACTAGCTGTTAGTCTAGACTTCAGGCTGTATGTTATGATTACAAGTAATCATAGTTATGTTGATCATGTTGATGGAAGGACCAATAGTGATTACTCACTTTTATGTCATTAGCTCTATTCATATGTCACCATAAAGTACATGGTGTGTGGGACCGAGGCACTCCTGATTCTTTATAACAGCAAGTTGACAGCAATAATGCCTCGAAGCAAGTGATGTCAGTATGGTTAAATATTGACTGCTTTTACGTGTTTAATAACTCTGTTTCATAGTGTGTATCATTATTGTAGCCTTGGGACTAAACCAAAGGTGGGGTGGTCATTTCATGTTTTTGAAAGATATAGACAGAGCTACAGATAATTTATGTACTCACTTGTGTTCATCTCATTTGGGTATCCTAATTTTCAATAAATAAATTGTATTCACCTCGCTCAAACTGAATTGGGTATTTTGCCATTTTCGTTTAATTTAAAAAATATAATAAAGTTTAAATGTTAGTGTTTGTTATCATGGTTATTGGAAACAATAAGAAAGACTGCAAGTTGTCAAGTTCATGTCCTGAAACAGAACCTCTCAATATACCTCAGTTATTTTATCTATCCACTGGTATGCAAGTTAAGATTCGACGTTTTTGTGTGTATGCCTGTAAGATCAAATTTATCGAGTATTTACAAAAATTCAAGCGTACTTGTATGCAATGGAGTTAGAGGGAATTGAGTTTTCATATAAATATTTGTGTAATTTACGCAGATACGCAGCTTATCTGTACCTCTGTATAGATAATGATATTTTGACTTAATGGTTTGAAGAATCAGCATTTGGTAGTCATCATGGCCATTCCCTGATATGATCACAGTGACTTACAGGAAACTGTTTATAATAAAATAACAAACTGATGGATATAACAAACTGTATTGGCTTTCTTTATTGTCCAAGCCTCTTCATGTACATTTTAGTCGAAATGCATTTAAGAACTAAGTGGTTATATCAAACAAAATAGTAGGAGTCTCTTTGAGTTCGTTATCAGTAAAGTTTGTTGTATATAGGATTCAATGCTATGCAATACTAAGTGCCCAAGCCAAGCAAGTTGGGAAAATAGTATTTCCTTAAAAATTGGGAGTTTCTCTAAGTTGTTATTTGGCTTATTTCAGGGATATTTTAACATTTTATTGTAGCATTAGCAATCAAAGTAGCAATGTAAATTAAGTGTTCAAGGCTTAGTAACATTGGTCCTGTTAAAAGTAAACATGGAAAGATGCAAGGCACCATTACTAAGCTATAGGAATTGGGAATCGCTACTAACTGTTGCTCCAGCTTAAAGTATTGATCTAGATAAAATGGGGTGGTGTGTTACTGTTACCCAAGCGGTTAAAGCAATCGTTTCTCATGCCCAGGACCTGGGTTCTGTAAGGCATATTTCTGGGATCCTTCTGTATAATATTGCTGGAGTATTGCTAAAATGTATACATATCTCTGAAAACAGGTAAATCACATTCTCAGCTGAAATTATTAATTTGATCAAAGCAAAGCAACAATATGGTTGCAATTTTGAGTAATGGTAAAGTGATGGATTTTAAAATCAAGTGATTGAAAAGATTGACCATGTAAACATTGTGCTACATTTCATTTAACTTATAATATATTTTGTAGGTGTCCAGATGTATGCTTTAGTTATAAGTCCCCTAAAAAGAAATAAAGTGTTTAAAATAATACATTAAGCCCTAAAAAATTGAAACCGGTTTACCGTGGTTTACATTGTGATATGGTCATGTTCGTGTAACAGTGTATGACGTGTATGTAAAATGAGTTTTTATTCAACAATTAGTGTTTTGAAAATTATCACAGACTGACATTTTAAGACACTGAGTTATATATCATGTTAAGCAGGAAATACTCTGTAAACATGGTGGGAGTTTATTGAAGGAGCATTTACCATGTTATCTTTAGCATGTGTAAGTAATGTTTCCTTTTAACAAGGGATTATGTTTTCTTCAAGGTTATTTAACATGTTTAACACATATCTTACTATTATTATTGATATAAATGGACAAGGTCCTCACAATTTTAAAAAGCCAATTATCTTTAACAATGTTTTGCTAATGACCTGAGAAATTGGCATGATTAGTATTCAGAAGCACATTTTAATATACATTGTATTTGTTTTAGCTTAGTTGTTTAGGTGGCAAAATTAAATGCTGTCAGTTTAGCTTTTTCAGCATGATATGTTTTACATTTTACAGTATCAATGACAACATGTACATAACTAAGCTTCAGTTCAATATATTCAGTGATTGGAATGATTGTGTTCCATGCATTTGATCAGTTGTCATGGTTACGGCTGTTACTAACTCAAACTGTATTGCTTCATGAATTCAATTTGTTATTCACGGTCACTGGAATGGAATATTCATGCATTTTGTAAAAGAATGTTTTTGCCTGAATTTGGTATTATTTAGCAAAGTGGAATATGCAAAATGACATGTATCCAAGCGTGAGATGATAGTAATCTTATGTATTAATTTGACAGTAATGCGGTCACTTGTCATTGTTGTGATGAATTATCACAGTCAACATGGTCCAAACAGGTTAAAGAATGTATTTTGTTATTGTTTCATGGAATATAATGAATAACACATCAGCTTCTGTCTTATTATTGTATTCGTTACCCAATGTGGGTGTTCATTGTGGAGTATTTGTTATATGCATAATATCCACCTCATAGTGGATTCATTGCAGCCCTAGTAACTATTACCTTTTGTTTGATTGTTCGTATTTGCCCTTTTTATCACTGTTTATATATTTCATATTCATGAACAAAACTCGGAATATAAAATGAAATTACATTCACATTGTATTTGTGAAGACCATGATAAGCATCACTAATACGGCATGTTACCTTCACCCCTTGTTTGTTTTACACCCCTTTAGCAATATTTAAGCTCTGATATTAGTCTGTAAAGAATCAAGCCTGAACCAGGCAATCCGGTGACTAACATCATGAGCATTAATCTACCTAATTTAGATACAATACAACATCAACCACGTCGGCAAGCCTGTCCTTGTCACCTTGTTAGTTGCCTCTTGCAACTAGCAAGGGCTGCTGAAGATCAATTCTAAGCCATATCTTCTTGAGTCTTGAGTCTCACCATCTGTTGACTTGATACTGATACAAGTTAGCAAGCCTGACCACCCAATCCTGTTAGTCGCCTCATATGACAAGCATGGGTTACTGAAGATCAATTCTTACCCGGATCTTCGCGGATCAAATAAATAAAGAATACATTGATAAAAACAAGTAATCAGCAAATCCTTATCAGCAAACAAAAATTCTAAGAGTCAAAAAGAAATTATTTTTATTTATTGATTGTGTCTTTTGTGTGTTCAGATCGACCACAATGGGGAAGCAGGACAACTCCTCCGAGAAAGACACAGAGAACTATGTGGACATCGCAGACTTTGTCATGGAGGTGGAGAGGTTCTCCAAGCTCATCGAACCTTTCGCCTTTGTCCTCTTCGCAGTAGATGATGTTAGAAGGTTGGTACTACGCAGAGAGGAAACTTCATAACTGGAATTGCATCATATTGTAAAAGAAAAAGAAACATCTTGAGTGGATACTTAGGCATTGCTGTCATCACATTTTTCTATGAAGTATGAGAGTTTAGTGCTGAACTTACTGCATCAGCATATGATGGATGAGTGACTGATTTTAACTTTCAGTTCAGCTCCTGTTAGGACTGTCTATCGATATAGATTATCGAGTTCGATAATCGTTAACTTTTTCCATGATATTAAACAAAGTATTCATGAATAAATGTTCGTATTTCGTTAAATGCTTGTTTTGCCTGAATATGGCCTTATGTCATTGTGATAAGTGCTTTGGATTTAAACACGTCTAAAGGATTTTTTTTTCTCCAATGTCCACATATAGGGCCAAACTAGTTTCTGGTGGACTTTTGGATTTGTAATGCATAATGTATATGGTGTAACATGCTTATCTGTATGTAGTGAAATATTGTTTTGTGTCTAATTTGTAACCCAGTTATATGTTCAATTGTTGCTCAGATGGAAGTTGCCGGGTGTGTCAGTGGCCTTATGGTTGATCTCACTGTTGTCCTGCTTGATTCTCACTCAAGGTAAGGCTCCTCATCAATTCGATGTGCATCCTCCACTGAGGTCCGACCCGTGAAGATCCGGGTTAGAATTGGTCTTCGGCAACCCATGCTTGTCGTAAGAGGCGACTAACGGGGTCGGGAGATCAGGCTCACTGACTTGGTTGACACATGTCATCGCAGAGCTACAGATAACTTTTGGGGCCATTGAGTTATGTACTCACTTGTGTTCATCTCAACTGGGTATCCTGATTTTCTTTTGAGTAACCAAATAAATTGTACTCACCTCACTCAAACTCAACTGGATATTTTGCCATTTTCCATTTATTGTAATGTAAAAATGTCATAAAATTTAAATGTTACTGTTTGTTATTTATATTTGATCTGTAATATGAGAAACGATAAGAAAGACTGCAAGTTGTCAAGTTCATGACCTGAAACAGAACCTCTTCAGTTATTTTATCTATCCACCTGTACGCAAGCTTAGATTTGACATGTTTTTGTGTACGCATGTAAGATCACATTCATTGAGTATTTACAAAAATTCAAGCGTACTTGTACGCAATAGACTTAATAGGAATTGAGTTTTCACATAAATATTTGTGTAATTTACGCAGATATGCAGCTTATCTGTACCTCTGTCATCGAATCCCAGTTGTGTAGATCGATGCTCATGCTGTTGATCACTGGATTGTCTGGTCTAGACTGGTTTTTTTACAGACCTCTGCCATATGGCTGGAATATTGCCTAGTGTGGCTATTTACAGCAAACAAACAATACACTGAGGTCCATGGCTTGTCATAAGATGTGATTAAATGGATCAGGTGGTCTTGGTGACTTAGTTGAAAGTCACATTGCCCTACTTGTGTGGATTGATTTTCATAATGTGAGTCACTGGATTGTCTGGTCAAGCTCAATCATTTGCAGACCATAATCATGTAGTATATTCCTGAATGCAAATTTACAAGTAATATTGATCATGTTGGTGTTGTAAGAAAGGTAGGTTAAACTCTGCAACTTTGATGTTTTCAGGAGCGATGTTCGTTTTGATTGCCTTCCTGGTGATGCTCATAGCCGCTGCGTGTCTTTTCCAAGTCCACACCCGCATCCTGGACAAGATCCTCCCAGACACACGGAGGGTCAACTTCTATGCTAGCGACGAGGAGAACAACACCCTACACACTGTCCGCGAGTTCCGATACAGGTGAGGCAGGCAGAATTATAGTGAGTGAGTGAGTTTTACACCGCTTTTAGCCATATCGCCAGCGGGGGACACCAGAAATGGGCTTCACACATTGTAACCATGTGGGAATCAAACCCGGGTCTTCAGTGTGACAAGCGAACGCTTTAACCACTAGGCTACCCCGTCGCCCCCAGTATCATAGTAACGTCACTTGACACTAAAGTATTCTCCCATCTTTGTTGCATTTCAGTCATGATATGATGTATATTATATTATTATTATGCTTGATTTGCACTGGGTGTTTTTGCACATTTTCTTTTAAGTGATTAATAATGTGAATTTATATATGGATCTGTTAAGAATGTCATCCAAACCAGTATATCAGCTTGTATATTGCTTATTCTATAATTATAACATGGAATAAATCAAAGACTCAAGGATTAGGAATGTGGATGAATGCGTATGCAGTATTACTGGTACACTCGCATTTGAAATGCTAATGAATTCATATCAAAAGGTGTTTTTCGAAATCATACATATTTATATTTTTTTGCAAAGTTAACAATAACATGATGAAATAATGAAATTCAAAAGTTATTAAATTGATAAAATGTATTATACACAAATTGTGCACAGAGCAATATCAAACAGAATGGAGAATGAAGTAGTATGAACTATGTTGGAGAGGTTTTGAACAGGTCCAATTTTTTTCAGGTTCATAACAAACTACAGATAAAAGAACACATATTGTGGTATCAGTTGCAAAACATGAACATTACTGTTCGTTCAGTTCTTGTTTAGACCCGTGAAGATCCAGGTTAGAATTGATCTTCAGTAACCCATGCTTGTCGTAAGAGGCAACTAACGGAATCTGGTGGTCAGGCTCACTGACTTGGTTGACACATGTCACCATATACCAATTGCATAGATCGATGCTCATGGTGTTGATCACTGGATTGTCTGGTCCAGACTCGATTATTTACAGACCATCGCCATAACTGGAATATTGCTGAGAGCAGCGTTAAACAACAAATCAATAAGTTGTTTTTTAACGTCGCAGTCATCAATTATCCAGTGAGAGAGCCTGACCACCCAATCCCGTTAGTCTTCTTATGACAAGTATGGGCTGCTTTAGATCATTTCTAACCTGGACCTTCACAGGTTGAAGCACAACTACATTATTATCCCCCGAACGCGTTTTGCGGGGGGTATTAAAATGGTGTCCGTCCGTGCGTGCGTGCGTCCGTCCGTCTGTCTGTGCACTTTTGTCTTTTCCGGAGCAGAACTCTAAAACCGTTCACTATTTCTTCACCAAACTTGGCACATAGATAGATCTGGTGGTGTACTGGTGCCTTTTGGTAGTTTTGGAATTCTGAATAAAATATATTTTTGGCGTTTCCATGGCAACAAGTTTGACTTAGACTGAAATTGGGGGTAGTGCTCTTTTCCGGAGCAGAACTCTAAAACCGTTCACTATTTCTTCACCAAACTTGGCACATGGATTGGTCTGGCGGTGTACTGGTACCTTTTGGTAGTTTTGGATTTCTGAATAATATATTTTTGGCATTTCCATGGCAACAAGCTTGACTAAAACTGAAATTAGTGGTAGTGCTCTTTTCCGGAGCAGAACTCTAAAACCGTTCAATGTTTCTTCACCAAACTTGGCACATACATATATCTGGTGGTGTACTGGTGCCTTTTGGTAGTTTTGGAATTCTGAATAAAATATTTTCGCGTTTCCATGACAACAAGTTTCACTTTGACTGAAATTGGTAATAGTGCTCTTTTCCGGAGCAGAACTTTAAAAACCTTTCAATACTCTCCTTCCACTTTTCTATATACACACCTAAATATTTGACATAATCATGACTCATAGACATAATCATGAAGAGTATTTTGCCATTGCGGGGTATATTGATGACTTTGTCTTCTTGTTTTGTACTCCAAAAGTTCATCCAATACCCATCACTGATGATTGAATGTGGTCCCTTATCTTGCAGCCTGATACAGATGCATGACTTTGTGGTGAAGTGTAATGAGTACCTGGCATACTTCTATGCTCTTCTCAAGTGGGACTACACCGTCCCAGCCATCATGTGAGTAACGTACATTTGTAATCATGATAATCATCATAATTATCATATTTGATCCAAAGAACCAATCGCAGTAAAATATTCCCTCATAGGATTAAATTCCCAGTTCATGTCAGTAGAACTGTTTGCTGGTATCTAGAAGTAGTGATTAAATATTAAAAAATAGTTGTTAATGGATAACAACTTACATTACGTCAATAACAGTGACAGAATCTGCATTGAAATGTTGCTAAATGCAGTCAACCAGAAGCTGTTATCCACAAGGTTGTATCACGGTAAATAAGATCAAGGCTTCATATAGCATTGATTTGTAAACAAGACTGACTTGACTGACACATTGTGCCAGTATCAATAACCAGAAATCTTTGGCACATTGTGCCCATGTGGGGAATCGAACCTACGAGCCAACGCTTTAACCACTAGGCTACCCCACCGCCTCTTGCCCACAAGAAGACCAAAACAGAGGATGAAGCATTCATGTTAATGCTTCTTCCTTAAGTGGCATTAAGAAGCTGGTATGCTTCACTTAACATTTTTCGATAAACATCATAACTGCACAGATTATAGAGGAGGTGCCAAGTGTTATGTTTTTGGTCTGATTGTTACCACGATTACCAAATTTCAGACCAAATATGCCAGTACAGCCAATATGATCAGGTGATAAACACACATGACCAGTACAGGGGTGGAAATAACCCATTGCCCGACGTCCGAGTCCAGTGTTTTTCTCTTTCGGGCAAGCAAATTTGTATATCACACTGTACCAGTGTCCAGTTGACTTGCCAATGTTAATTATGTTGTTTATTTAAAAAATCAGCAAGAAAACTGTCGGTATAGTGGACAAATTATCAGGGCAAGTGACTTTACATGTGCCACTGTACCGGAGTACACTGTCAGTGTTAAAGTTATTTCCAACCCTGCAGTAGCTTTGATGAGTACCGGTAATTGAGAATACTAATCCATGTCATGTTTTCATCTGCTGTCATCCTCTCTCTATATTGAAGTATTGCCTTCCCACACATTGTGAACTTATGTGAAATGTTGTTCAGTGGCATGAGAAAAGTAGTATTTCATGTGTCTTTAAGAAACCAGTTTCAGTTGATAATGCTGTGAGTTTTGTGCCATCTAGAGTTATGTCCCCTACATGTTTGTTCAGACCTGTTTAGTGGTGTATGTATATAGTTACATACTGTTCAACCCATTTCAGCTTCCATGCAGAGTTGAGTGTGCTCATCCTTTCCCTAGTGGTCTTCCCGCGGCTCGGTGGATCTGTTTCATTTTGGTCATGTGGTTCTTCTGTGGCCACAAAGACACCGTCAGTCGTGAGTATCTTCCTAGTTTCATGTTTTTTGTCCTTATTTTTGTTGTTTAGCGCTGGACTCAGCAATATTCCTGCTATATGACAGCAATATTCCAACTATATGACAGCAATATTCCAGCTATATGACAGCAATCTGTGAACAACCGAGTCTGGACCAGACTATCCAGTGATCAACAGCATGAGCACCGCTCTACGCATTTGGGATACGATGACATGTGTCAACCAAGTCAGCGAGCCTGACCACCCCGGTCCAATTAGTCACCTAGGACAAGCATGAGTTACTGAAGATCAATTCTAACCTGGATCTTCACGGGTCTATGGCTTAAGAACATGATCAACCAAGTATGTCAATGCTTTTCTTGTAAATGTGATGACATTGGTTGTCTACCAGTTATTGTAAACCAAAAGTCACTGTGTTCTTTATTCTGATTGGTTGAAAAACATGATCGAATGGTATTTCATTCCCGGAAATTGTAAGACTATTTGCTGTGTATTAATATGTTCAAATGCCGCACACAATTGTATTGTTGCGTCGTCAGCAGTGGTGACGTCATTCAAATCATATTGTGACGTAAAGTCGGAATGACGTCACAAATGAGCAGTTCCAGATGCTACCATAAGAACCAGCTGAAACGGCCGGCTAATGACACTTCACTGCTGTACCCGTACTCCGATGTCAATGAGTGCAGACAGTAAAACCCATGTGGGCCTTTTGCTTTACTTTTGTGTTTACAATGTCAATAAACTAATAAACATCATGTGTTGGCCAGTTTCAGGGTGTTATTGAGTATTTGAAGCACAGGAATATTTCATTTGAAACCTCTGGCAAACGCTGTCAGTTCCAAATGAATTCCCGTGCTTCAAATACTCAATAACACCCGGAAATTGGCCAACACATGATGTTTATCTCCTAAATATAATACTAGCAGCTCATTATTCTGGAACTAGAATTACACTATTTGTTGATGTGCTCCATTCCAGTTCTCCAGAGCCAGTGGACATTTCTGCAGAACATAGCAAACGGCAAGCCCTGCTCTGGAGTGGCATCAAACACTCATGAAGCACAGAGCACTGCCGTCAACCCATCCGAATCTCAGTCAAAGGTTGGTTTGTTTGTTTGTTTGTTTAACACCCTACTCAGCAATATTCCAGGTATATTACATCAGTCTGTAAATAATCAAGCATAGACCTGACAATCACAAGTCAGTGAGCCTGACCACCTGATCCCGTTAGTTGCCTTTTATGGCCAGCATGGGTTGCTGACTCTGGTCAAATGGAACCCGGACTCAATATACACCAGAAGACAGAATAAAGATGTTTATACCTCTGGCATAAGTAGAAGTAAGACAATGAGATTATTAAACTACAACATGTATTTTTGCTTAATTATTTTGCTGTGTCGTCGAATATCTTTGACACAATTCAACTGCCAAACTTGAAATTTGTGTTCATTTGCAGCTTGAACTATTTCCTTTTCCACATTTTGGATTTCATTGACAGTAACCTTGGTAGCTAAAATGTGTAAAAAGTATGACTGCTCAACACAAGTATTTAGTAAATATTTCCTCAGTCACTTTTCAAGGTCTCTCATTTGATCTACCAATCTGACCTTCATGACGAATATTGAGCATATGCGGGGCAGCTGGATATTGAACAGTAGTACGTAAAAGAAACTTTGCTGGAACTCATCTGAACTCTTTCGTTACATTTCATAATGGTTTTTAGAAACTTTGCTGGAAGTCATCTGAACAAATTCATTACCTTTCGTAATGATTTTTACCTAATTCCCCAAAACAGATATTTTGGTCAATATTAGTGGATTATACCTTGTGCTTTACAGATGTTTAGTTTTTAATGAATCTTGTTCTGTCTGCCTTCAGGGAAGCAGTGAGACAACCTCTAGTGGTGATGTTACAGATTCTCCTGACAAAGATGAGGTGTATGATGTGAGTAAAGAGAACTTGCTTTACTGTCTGTTCCAGCTTTGAATATATCCAGTGTAAAACAAATCTCCTTTTTCATCATGAATGTTTTAAACCAGGTTTCCATCAAGACATTGTTTTAAAAGCGAAAGTGAGTTGTGATTGGTACGCTCAACTTCCCAGCGTAGACACCTGATTGGATAAAAAGCCAACCAAGGGAGGTAATAAAATGATCGGCTTGAGCCGTAGATGCATCCAGGGTATAGTGGAGATTTATCGGGACGTATACCCTGGAGATTATCGAGGATCTGAACATCCAGTATATAACAAATCTCCTATTTTTCCTTATCCTGACTCATGCTCTTTTGCTTGTCTCCTTCCTCTTGCGAACATAGTGGAACACTTGTATCTCCCTAATTGAAGTTCCCTTCAATGTAAAATCACTAATTAGTACACCACGAGTTACCTCCCTTCCACAAGCTCGGGAACGAGGGCGCCACCCCTACCCATGTGCCTCACTCTCTCCTTCTTAAGCCCAGTGAGCTGGACGTGAGAGCGCTGCCAGTCTCCCGACACACTATATCCTTTTGATTATATTTAGTTAGTTACCTCGTATAGAGATCTATAGAGGTTTAGCTAGTATCTTTCAACAATTATATATTGATATTTAGTCGTGTTTCTACTGTTTATGCACGGGCGCCAGCGTGCTGTTGCAGTGGATTACGTTGATAAAAATTCTGTACTGTTGCACATTACGTTTTTATTCTGCTGCTGATCCGCATTTAATATGCCCTAGCTGTACTGCGCCATGTTTCATGTGATTCACGTTGCAGTTGCGATACTAATTTATCCAATTCTACCTTTAATAAATAATTGCTTGCGTTTGAGACGCGCAGCAGATAGAGTCACGTATGCAGAGTCTAGCATGACTGATACACCTGAACCCCTCGCCAGTCTACTGCTGTTGGTCGACCCCCCTCCGTCTGGGTTTCCGCTAGAATGGTGGAGAGCGTGGGGCGTAGTCCGCCCGCCTCAAGAAGCGTCCTACTTCCCCAGACATCCCTTCGTCGCACTGAGGGGTATTCAGCGAAGTCTACTAGAACTTTCTCTCGGCGAGATTGTTCTCATCATGAGATTTGGGCCTGTATGATGATCAGCAGCCGATCATCATTCCTGATGTACATCAAAGAATGACTGATGTCGGCAACAGTGATGTCAGCGCAGATCAACATTCGATGATCTTCCTGAGGGTCCCGTCGCTACCCAACACTCAACGCAGACTTCGCACCCCAGGGCAGCGTCGACCTCTGAGGGAATTCAACGAAGTCTACTAGGACTTTCTCAACCGAGATTGTTCCAGCCGCTGAACTTGGCCTCTCACGATGATCAGCCGATCATCATCTCGGCGAGTATGAGACAAGTAGCGCCGGTGACAGCAGCTACAATGACATCAGCAGAGATCGTCATGCAGCCTGATGTCTCTACACTGATGTCAGACGACTTACCTGAGGGCCCCACCACTAACAGCGCAGAGATGGCACCGACTACTCGCGTGCAGACCATCCCAGACGAAGCTACTACGGCAAATCATGGTCGTGATGGAGGTCACTACAGACTGGAGAAGCAGCCAGCCCAGAGTAATGCAGCCTTCAAGGCTCCAACTTAGACAACACTCTAGAGGCACCTCCAGTCAAACGTAGCAGCCAAGACGATGCAGCCTTCGCGAAGGAAGTCGCCGCAGACCACCTTGACGGCGGACCCAGATGTACAGCTTCTTGGCGAAGGCCCAGCGGCGGATAGATCATCACATTCCTCGGCTTCATCCTTAGATGCAGACTCAGCCACCAGACCTCACGGAAGCCTTCGCTAAGCTCAAATCGCCGTTCCCCAGCACCGAGCGCAGGGAAGCCCCATGGCGCTTCATGGCGTTACGGTGAAGGCGTTAAGGCCGAAGGCATTCGCTGCACTTTCGGGAAGGACACCCGAATATAGATCGCCATTTAACAGAGTCAAGGGACTACTCAGAGCTTCGCCCGAAGCTGTCAATAGTCTCCGATCTCCTCGTACATCACCACATCGACGCCTTCACAGGTTACCACACAAGTCTGCACACAAGTCTACATCACCTTCCTAGAGTGGCAGTACGACGCAGACATACCTGATGAAGGAAGACGACGCCAGATGCTATCACCCTACCTCCGATCGACCATTGCTGCGGTAGCACAGAATCTAGACATAGCATCCCATAAAGCCACAAAAAGTTCAGACACCATAATTGCCGAACTTTCACTATCAGAAGTTTTCCACAACATGGACCCCTTCTTCAAGGCTTAAAGACATCGATGAAAACTACAAGTTGATCATCGATATCAACAATAAGAACTACAATGTCGTAAATTGGTTCAGTTGAATCCATGACCCAGACGTGATGTTCGTTGGCCTAAATAGATCTAGAACGATCATTGAGACACTTATCACCAGATTTAAGTAACCACGACTTCTGAAAATGATAAGATGATCCACTTCGGCCCTACTTATGCAGAACCAGCAAGTCCCAGGCAGCCTCCAGCGAAGAGCTAGAGCCTCACCAGCTACAAGGGACGTCGAGGAGTAGCGCTTACCGACCCCACATCCTGTTAAACACAGAGGCCATTCGTAGCAAAGCAAAGCTCTTATATATATATATATATTCCTAATCGGACTTTGATTCGATACCTTCGCCCGAAGGTCGCGAAGGCTAAGTGGCTCCAAGTCTACTTCACCAGTAGATCTAGAAGGGATACTTCAGAGCTTCGTGAAGTCTCCGGCGCTTCACCGAGGAAGTCTCCTCCAAGGTCTCCATATACTAGCCACTTTCGTCATATATAGCTACTCCTCAGTCCGTTCAAGACATCGCGCCAAGTTGTCTATCAACTGTATGCCAGATGCCGATCTATAAGCCTCTGGCGAAGACAATTGCACAGGCTATTTACAACACAGAAACGTCGCTGTATTAATTTGTCAACGACGCTTCATAGATCTTCACAGAAATCAACTATTCCGTATAAATTGCTAGTATATGCAATCCCGGACGACGATACGATTATCTACATGCGTGACCATTACGCGATATCTGCAGACAATTCAATATCGAAATTGAACAGCAGCCTTGTTACAGCGTGAGTATAACTCATAATCGTCAACATTTCTGAGAAGAAATATGTACAACAAATTCAGCTTTAATTTCTACAATTATGACGATACATTCATGTATACAGTCTACAAGCTGACAACTTACAAGTTATTGTACCTTTATATATAAAGAAGTCGGAATTATATTCAAAACTGAAGTACTTTCCACGACAGCCAGGAAAATAACCTACCCAGCATTAATATTACAGAGCAAGGTATTTTGCGCCGGCCTTCGCTTAGCGTTTACCATTAATCCTCGAAACACGTGGTCACTTTCGGGTAACTTCGGAAGTTACGATGAAGACCGATGATTGTTCTAATATCAACGACGGCACTATATTATACAAGGTTCCTTTTCCTGCTACACCGGTGACACTCAGGCGGGTACTCTACAGAATCAAAATGCCTTATTCTGATTGGACCCCGATGAACAACGCCTACACAGAGGTCGAGCATAGTTCACAGTTCAAGACATAGGTTGCAAGTGACAACTTTATATCAATGAACGAGCAAGCCTCCTTACAGCCCAGTTAACCTGAACCTTCATGATTAGGCTGCTTTCTTCAGGTTAGAGACCTCCCCTGTCAAGTTTAGACAAGGGCACAGCAGTCAGGCGATTTTACATAAAGTTCATCGAGGACACAAACTCCCGGTTGTGCACATACATCGTCAAGGACATCGCAACCATTTACCTAGACGACGCGATACAAGTGGATCGAAATCCACAGCGTTTCAGACTACACCTGAATTTCATCATCAAGCTACTAACACAACTAGATGGTTAGTAAACCTACTAAGTTTCTGTTTGGAGAATAAACGGAAGTTTCACATACCAACTTGGGGATATGAATATAGTGCTACAACACCTCACAAGTGAGGTTTATGAACATGCCTGGATGACATACTTGGACTCCATGATACGATGATGCTATCAGCTGGCCAGCAAGAGCACTGTAAATTTATCTCCACCAAACCAAACAGGAAGAAAATATACAACAGATTTTTTCCTCTATCATCAACTTCGCGAGTGTAGTCTCACGTACTATATCTCCGTTTGGATCAGAACTGTCATACTACGTGCATACAAGACAGATGGACCTAATCCGACCTCCATGAGCTTTAATACTCTTGATTTTAGAGCCCTAACTTCTACAATTTCATCTACACAAATGTTATTTGAAATAATGGAGGGTTTATTACTGTAGATCCGATATGGTGGTTGCCAACCATTATCTGAGAGATATCACCACCGAGGACATCTCAGGTATCCACCAATTGATCCCATGGTCCTTGCACAACAGTTGACAGTTCCTCGAGAAGATAAGTCAATCTTACAGATTTTTACTTATCTTATAACAGTACTAAATAGCTTCATGCTATATATAATTTGCTTAAGCTCGTTTTTATCATCACAGTGGTTACATGATAAATGCATTAGCTAACAAACTCTACAGAGTTTTTTTTGGCTATTATATAATGAGCTTAAGTCAAGTATATTTTAAGCATAGTACTATACTCATATTGTAAAAATACATTAGCTAACAAACTCTCACGGAGTTTTATTATTATATAGGTAGCTTAAGCTCATTCATATCTTAAGCTCAGTACTATGTTTATATCATATAACTATATTAGCTAACAAACTCTAAAGAGCTTTTGCTATTTGGCTTAAGTTTCATCATATCTTAAGCAATATGGTTACATTATAACATGTATTAGCTAACAAACTCTATGGAGTTTTTGCTATTATATATGTAACTTAAGCTTATTCATATCTTAAGCGCAGTACTATGTTTATATATATAGGTATATTAGCTATCAAAACTCTAAAAGAGTTTTTGCTATTATATATTATTGGGCTTAAGTTTTCATCATATTTTAAGCTTTATGGTTACATTATATCATGTATTAGCTAACAAACTCTCACGGAGTTTTTGCTATACATATGTAGCTTAAGGTTTCTTCATATCTTAAGCTCAATACTATGTTGATACCATATAAGTATATTAGCTATTAAAACTCTAAAAGGTTTTTGCTATTATATATTTAGCTTAAGGTTTACTTCATATCTTAAGCTCAATACTAGGTCTAAATCAACATAATAAAATGTATTAGCTATCAAACTCTAATGGAGTTTTACTATTATATATATATAGCTTAAGTTTAATCATATCTTAAGCTCAGTACTATGTTTATAACATAAAAGTATATTAGTTAATAAACTCTAAGGAGTTTTTGCTATATACATTTAGCTTAAGTCTAATCATATCTTAAGCTTAGTACTATGGTTACATTATAAATCTATTAGCTAATAAGCTCTACAGAGTTTTTGGCTATTGTATATGTAGCTTAAGTTAATTATATCTTAAGCACAGTACTATACTCATATTGTAAAATATATTAGCTAACAAACTTTACTAAGTTTGGCTATTATATATGTAGCTTAAGTTAATTATATCTTAAGCACAGTACTATACTCATATTGTAAAAATATATTAGCTAACAAACTATACTAAGTTTGGCTATTATATATGTAGCTTAAGTTAATTATATCTTAAGCACAGTATTATACTCATATTGTAAAAATATATTAGCTAACAAACTCTACTAAGTTTGGCTATTATATATGTAGCTTAAGATAATTATATCTTAAGCACAATACTATACTCATATTGTAAAAATGTATTAGCTAACAAACTCTACAAAGTTTGCTGTTATATATATAGCTAAGCTTATTCATATCTTAAGCTCAGCACTGTCTATATCATATAAATATTTTAACTAACAAACCCTAAAGAGGTTTGTTATTATATAATTAGCTTAAAATTAATCATATTTTAAGCTTAGTGCTATGTTTATATCTTAAAGTATTTTAGCTAACAAACTCTAAGGAGTTTATACTAGCATATTAACAAGCTTAAGTCTATTAGTCTTAAGCATTGTATTAATATTATATATACTTATCATAATAAGTACATTGTAATAACCTCTATATGGCAGCTGATAAGCTGGCAGCAGGAATTCATCAGTTCAATGCCTTTATGAAGTTCTCATAGGGTTATTACAATCATCACAGTTCAAATCACTAATTATTAAAATCCAAAGTATTATATATTCCCACCTCCGCTCTGTTGGATTCTACAAGCAAAAGAGCATGAGTCAGGATAAGGAAAAATATGTAATTTTTTGAGTAAAATTGATATTTTATACTTATCCTGACTCATGAGTCAACCCTCCCATCCTCCCAAATAACACTTTGGATTTCCTGTAAATTCAAATGTTGGGCTCAGTATATGAGGGAGAGTGAGGCACATGGGTAGAGGTGAAGCCCTGGTTCAGCTTGTGGAAGGGAGGTAACTTCGTGGTGTACTAATTGGTGATTTTACATTGAAGGGAACTTCAATTAGGGAGATACAAGTGTTCCACTATGTTAAGCAGAGAGGAAGGAGACAAGCAAAAGAGCATGAGTCAGGATAAATAAGTATAAAATATCAATTTTACTCAAAAATTACATTTTGTTGATTTTCGCCCAGCCAGCAACAAGAAACTTTCACTGAAATATCATTAAACCAAATGTGTGCTTGTGGCATCATGTCAAGTTATCTCCCCTTAAGTTGGTAATGACCTAGTTTCTACGTTAAGGATCCAAACCGAATACGTGGTTCATACTGACAAACCATCACATTCTTCACAGTGAACCTTCGTAGCCTAGTGGATAAAACCGCCAAGCTAGTAAGCGAAGGGTTGCAGGTTTGAAACCAGGCATAGCACAAGATATTGGAAGTTTTCAATAATGTGATATTTTACAATCATATTCAGTAATATCAAGACAAAGATAGTATAAGCAAAATAAAGTCAAGGGCTATTCCTCAGAAAATCCCCAGGATTTCTGGGAGAATGCCTGCGAAACTGCCTGTTGAGGTTTACTCGGGAAAAGGAGAACCTATCGAGACAATACAGTGACGTCACTGGAAGTTTATAAACCACAGTCACTGTATAACAGATTTTCTTTTTGAGGTGACTGAGTTATAATACAATATACAAGTTACAATATATCGCAAGTACAAACCTGTTTGTGCATTTGAAATGTGGTACAAATCTGATGGTACACATATGTAGCGTATTTGATTACAAATGTTGATACAAAACTGTGTACACCTTCCAAGCCAGAAGTGTTGCACTGATGAGGTCTTACTGTCTATGTCTTCAAAGTGTCCATATCATTTACAGGAAGATCTGGATGAGAACACGGTAGAGTTGGACGGGGACCACCTCACTAGACTAGAACCGGCGCCGTCTAAACCTGGTATGGTTGCCAGGCTCCTGGAACTCAAACGGCGTCGGCAACAGCTCGCCAGTGGTGAGTTGGCACAACTCCTGATCATATTGACATATTCTTTTGTTTTAGGGACAGTAGTGGCTTTACGGAAAAAAATTCATCTGTTACATGTTTATTTCTTTTCCTATGATGATGTCAGAAAGGATTTTTTATTTTTGGCAATAGTTCTCAAAATGAATAAATAAGCCATGTTTATCATGTTTATACTGTTGTGACGGCTGATTCACAGCATGTGTTTCTTTTTCAGAAAACTGTTTCACATGCAAAGTGTCTTTCTCATCATTTTTGAAAAGAAGGGTAAGTACATTCTTTATTTCCTTTACAAAAGATAAACTTAGTCTGATCGTGTGAGCTTTTGGGTAGCCTAGTGGTTAAAGCATTCATGCTTTCATGCATTGTCATGCCAAAGACCCGGGTTCGATTCCCCACTTGGGTACAATGTGCGAACCCCAGTACTGGCCTCCAAAGCCAAGATATTGCTGGAACGTTGCCAATTAAACTCATACAGTTCCTCAATGGTCTGAGGTGCATCCTTGTTGGTTTCAGCCATGTGACCTTAACATTGCAGGACTTCCTCTCTAATTATGCTGACTTGATGTGATGTAACTGATCTGCAAAATTCACTCCTGTTTTCTGAATACGCCATCGATGTTTCTTTTAGAGCGTGAAACACTCTCATTCATATGAGATGTTAGTGATTGTGTTTTAGAGTATGAAACAATCACATTCACATCAGATCTTAGTGATTGTATTGTAGAGTGTAGAACAATCACATTTAAATCAAGGGCAGTGTGGTATCATAGTGGTTAAAGCGCCTGCTCGTCATGCGGAAGACCGGGTTCGATTCCCCACAAGGGTACAATGTGTGAAGCCCATTTGTAGTGTCCCCGGCCATGATATTGCTGGATTATTGCTAAAAGTGACGTAAAACCATAATCAATAACTCACTCACATTAAAATCAGATCTTAGTGATTGTATTTTAGAGTGTGGAACAAACTCATTCAAATCAGCCGGTTGAGCAAGGTTTATGCCAGACATGCACACCTTCTAGTTTTGTAAACTTTATTATTGGCCAAAAGGTCTTTTCTCTTGTACAACTTGAATAGACAATAGTCATGATCTGAGAGTTGGTTGTTTCCTGTGTCTTGCCTATGGACACAGTATTAATCTAAGTGAAATGCTTCCGTTGCAGTACTACTGCCGGCACTGTGGGAACCACTTCTGCAACAAGTGCTGCAACCAGAAGGTCCCTAGATCCGTGTTTGGAGCTACGTGTAAGTCCTGACTTGATGATGTCCTCGTGTACAAAATCATTGTTAAAAGAGATGGAAACTTTGTTCCCTGTGAAGATGCCAGAGCAGATTAGATTCGCTCAAGTCCCTTACTTGGTGGTTGTGCCAGGTTGTGGGTGTTGGGTGGATGAAATATGTGCAACCTGGCATATTATTATGTGTGCCTTGATGACATGGATTGATGTTCACACAGTTGACCACTAGCTTTACACAGACCGGTTCCTGGTTCATTAGGGGCAGTGGGGTAGCCTAGTGGTTAAAGCGTTCTCTCGTCCCGCCAAAGACCCGGGTTCGATTCCCCACATGAGTACAATATGTGAAGCCCATTTCTGGTGTCCCCCTCCGTGATATTGCTGGAATATTGCTAAAAGCGTCGTAAAACAAACTCACCCACTCACTCCTGGTTCATTACTGTTATGTAGCTGGAATTTGCTGTCTCATCATCTCGACCAACAAATCCAGCATGAGCATCGATCTAACCAATTGGGATGCGATGACAACCAAGTCAGCTAGCCTGACCACCCGATCCCATTAGTTGCCTCTTATATCAAGCATATCTAACCCGGATCTTCACGAGTATATCAGTATTTGAGGGTGAATCAGTCAATGTTATGGACTCTTTCAAGCTTAGTTTCTAAATTGATACACTGACAAGGCTTGTTTGTATGCTATATTCTGTTGAAAAAGGCAGGGAAATTTTTGTTTCTTTAGAGAAAAGCAGTTATTGTGATCTTGAGTGTTACACTCAGCTGGGCAGACCACTGACGGTAGATATAAGTGTTTCATGTTAGTTTTTATCTTTTTCAGCTCCTGCGGCCCAGACTGAGACTGTGATTGTCTGCAATACTTGTCATGAGCTTCTCACGAAAAAGGACAAAGACAAGGTCAGTTGATGACCTTGACATTTGTTACAAGGTCAGCAAATGACCTTGACATCAAGGATAAGGTCAATGACCCTGACCTTTGACAATCAGATGAAAAAATAAGAGACCAAGAAGGTTGGAGGAAGAATTTCAATTTGGTCTTGAGTGTTCATTTTCACTGATCATTTTCAAGCGTGAGGATTTAGTATATGTAAGGCTTGTTTAAAAAATCATTTGCTAGAAGTTTTCATTACTAAAATGAAATGAGAAACGGGTAGGTAATATGTTTTTAGAACAAGTGCATCCAGACTAAAATCATTTTGTTTTTCCCCCCCTTGTCAGTGTTACATTTTCCTTGTCTTGTTCTGAAATGTCCTGAGTGAAAACCTGTTATTCTGTCATAAAACAACCTAATGGTGTGTGCTAGTCAGCAAGCAAGTAAGATTATAAAACCTCTTCAAATCGTATCATGATGTTCATATATGACAACCAAATCCAATGTACATTTTAAACATCATTCTTTACATTTCTAAGCCTGCTTGTTAAATTGAAAACTTTGAAACTTTATGTACTTTTAATTTGTTATTATATGCCTTGTTTTTAATTTGATCTTTTAACCTATTTATAATGCTTGTTTTTAAGTTATGTAACCCGGTCAATGTATTATGTGCCATGTGGAATCTAGTGTTGCACGCAGTTTGCTTTCCTGCTCTGTGTTCATCAACATTTTATCATATCATATATGTTTCAGATAGTTGAAGCTAAACAACATTTTATCATGTAGATATTAATCTTGACAATTTTAATGCAAAGCAATGAAATTTTAGGCATGCCATTTAGCATATTCTTATAATTATACAATCATGTTGGACCAATGTTGCACAATTCTTTGACCATGTCAAAAGACCAAAGATCAGTTTGTTTGTTGGGAGTCATGAGCCCATGATATTTCCTTTGACTTATGAAAGCAGCGTTGGGGGCATGTACTTCGATGAAGAATGATGTGGAGGTGTATGAATATAACTATAACTTACAGTGGTGTACGTTCTAGCAGTATCTAGCAGTTTTAAGGTTGATAGTTGCCCTATGGTGATGCAAATGATTTGTGAGACATGATTTGCCCTACATTTAAGGAATTGTCCTGCATTATGGAATTGTCCTTGACCTACATTTAAGGAATTGTTCTTGACCTACATTCATGGAGATGTCCATGACCTACATTTAGGGAATTGTTCTTGACCTACATTCATGGAGATGTCCATGACCTACATTTAGGGAATTGTTCTTGACCTATATTCATGGAGATGGCCATGACCTACATTCATGGAGATGTCCAATTGTCCATGACCAATGTTCAAGGAGATATCCACAACCTAGGCCAAGTGGACATGTACTTCCCTCAGTACAGGTAGCAGTGTCAGGATCAGGACTTGCTTGTTAGGGAAGTTGTTTGTTGGGAAAGTGGGGTTATCTTTGTTTTTCTGCCATGTTTTCTACCTTAAATTCTTCAGTTGTTGCTTACATAGGATATTTGATTAGTATATAGATGCAGTGTTGAAATTAAGGGGGTGCTTGGAGCCCTTGATTTTTCTCCTGTGATATTATATTTTAGGGTACCTGAATGGGTACTTCCTGCTTCTGACAACTGTTTTCCCATTGAAACTATTTATTGCACTCTTATCAATGATGATCTGGCTGTCTGTGGCTGGCCTTTTAGTGGACAGTTCTGGCCCACTTGTTGACCCTTTGTATGTCTGGTTGGTCACTTGGTGTTCATGATGATGATGATGATGATAATGCTATTACCAGGCAGTATTTGAGGCTCAGTGCAATGGTAGCCAGCCTGTTCATGCATACATATAGCAAATGTTCTGTGTTGGAGATGCATGAGATTGTATTATTCTGTGAATCCAAGAGACAAGTATCAATTCAAGCAAACTGGGAATAAAATGTGAATCTGTTTTATTGTCAGAAAGGCTGGAAATCTTATGTTTCGATCAACTTTGAAGAAAACAAGTCATACATGATCTGTTTAATATCAGCAATGACATAGTTATCTCCCTTTCAATGATCGGCTGCCAAGAGCTTTGGATTTTTGAGGGTGAAATTTTAAGAAAGACCTTGACATTTGTGATTGAATCCATACAAACCCAAATATCACAGAAAGGAAGAAACAATCCTCACGACCATAATGAGGCTCTACAAAGAAATACTTGTTTCCAGTTACCAAAATGATCAACCTTTTCACATGCAGTTCAAAATATCCAAAAACAAATGTATATGTCCATTAAAGAGATTCTGCCCCTCCTGACATATCTGTTAACACCCAGGATGCAGAAAGACAGATATGTTCTCATAATAATGACTTTAGTAAATGATAGATGATTTCCAGGTCACCTTTCAGCATATTCAGGTTCTGTAGCCATAACAGTTTATTTACTGTGAAAAATAACATTGGCGATCCAAGCCAGGAATTTCAAACCATCATTTATCAATCTTGATGCATCTCTTGTACACCAGATTTCAAATCAGGAAATTAGAAACCAACTTGTGTTAATTCATGCAAACTATGTCTGTCGACCATGTTGCATTTTTTGTAATGTCAGTGTGAGGTAGTCACGTGTGATAGAATTTGTGTTCTACATCATCCAGCCATTTTGGCGTCGGTCACCAACAGATATAACTTGCTGTTACTGCCAATATTTTTATGGTGCTCTGATAGCTAGGAAACAAATGCTTAGAGAATCATCAGTGTCTTTCTGTAAGAATATAATAATCACAATGCTGTAATCACAAATGTGTCCAGGTTTGCAAACTTAAAAACAAATGAGTAATAATTGGAACATTTTTGGTGGAATGAAGACTAAAGTTCTTTTACTACTCTAACCTGATTTATTCATGGGCATTTCTCCTTAGCAATAACATTTTTCATATTTTGGTTTATTCAAATTGTTTCAAAATACTACAACAGATTTTTAAGGACTGAGGTCATTGAGAAAAGTTCCAAAATATGGAAGGTGAGGATTTCTTTATGATGAGGAACACGACATTTCCGAGTATATTCTTACTCCTTCATCAGGGGCGGTGGGGTAGCCTAGTGGTTAAAGCCGAAGACCCGGGTTCGATTCCCATCATGGGTACAATGTGTGAAGCCCATTTCTGGTGTCCCCCGCTGTGATATTGCTGGAATATTGCTAAAAAGCAGCGTAAAACCATACTCACTCACTCACTCCTTCATCACCTAATGATGATATCCAAAAATTCTCACCTGTAACATGTATCACTTCTGAATGCTATTCGGGGCGGTGGGTAGCCCAGTGGTTAAAGCGTTCACATGTCACCCCGAAGACCAAGGTTTGATTCCCAATTTCTAGTGTCCCCTGCCGTGATATTGCTGGAAATTTGCTAAAAGCAGTGTAGGACTAAACTCACTCACTCACTCTGAATATTGTTCAAAGAATTCCAAAATGTGGCCAATTCTTCTGAAACCATCTATTGTTTGCTCTGGATAAACTCGACCCAATTGACCATAAGTTTCAAATCATTCTGAAGCCATACCATGAACACTGTCAGGAGTCGTTGGCTTCATCCTGATCATCAATATTGTATATCAGTTGTGTTACATGTTTTCTTTGTTTAGCTCATGTTGATTACCTGTGATTCAACCGATTATTCTGTGGAAGGTTGTGCCGATCCGCTCAACGCCAGTGACGTTATTGAAAGTTAATGATATTGCATATGCCTATTTTCTGAGTCACAGTACTCTGTGATCTTTTGGTTACGCTCCTAGGCCAAGTTTCACAAAGCTATTGTAGCGCTACGACTGTCATACCTCCTATATTGTAACATAGACTTACGATGGTCGTACCACTATGACAGCTTTGTGAAACAGGGCCCTGCTGCTCGAGGTATGAGACTGGGACCGGAGACCATAGTTACCAGCAGCTACTATTTTTATCACCTTTGTTCTTGTCTTTGAGAAGAATGTTTGTTTTTGACCAAATCTTCATACAGAATTTAGGATTTCAATAAAACATTTTTTGCTTTTGGAACCATCTACTCATTTATATTCTCTCATATAACATGGAGGAAGTATTTTGGAAATGTTTCTGTAACTGTTTCCATGGAGATTACAACTGTTCTAAAGTGTTACATTTGCAGTTATGAATCAAAACCTTCTCTTTCCTCCTGAACTGTAATTATTGCAGTATGATACTTTAATATCCTCTATGTTATGATTGATTACTTTTTGTTTTTTCGGGGGACTCTTTTGATGGAGTTAAATATATTCAAAACTAAATATCTGTTTTGCGGCTTGTGTATATTTCGCATATTTCTGTTGAAATATGAATTTTCATCAGAGCATAGTTTTTAGCATGTTTTTTTAATACAAACTGTTCACATATATTTCAAATCTACCGAGCCTAATTTATTTTAGCTTTTCGATATTCTGGATTAGTTTTCCAACATTAAATGAAAAGAAAGAGAAGATGAAAATAGAACTGTTTAATATGATGATGCAGATCTGTGGTTCAGCAGATGTTTAACGAAGATGCAAATCTTAACTGGTATTTTCTGTTGAACATATGTACCAGTTGATAAATTCCATAAATCTGTAAATTAACAGTTTCTTTGAGAAAACAGCTAGTACAGAGGAACATTCACAATGTAACATTATCCAAATGGTAGGGTTACATATATGCAATATATGCAACAAATTGTTTGATTTTACATAAACAACTTATTGTTGGTCGACAATATTGTTTTGTTTTGTAACCATGGCAACAATGATCTGTTTCATTTGAAACAAATACAGTCATCCCTCGCCATACCACGGGTCTTGGGGTCCATGGATAACCCCCCACATTATGAGACACTCGCGTTATATATAACACGGAATAGAGGCCAAGTAAGATCATATTTTCCATGGACATAGCAGAAATGCTATTTCATGTATGGGTGCCCAGTCAAAACTAAGTTATTACGATGTTCCGTTGTTTGCGTGATTTGTTGATACGCTTTTTCCAATGACGTAAAGATGTGTGATTGTTGGGCAACTTTTTTTTATGGGAGCCACAGATTACCCGATGGTTTAACTGAAACCGCGGTATCGCGAAGAGCGTTATTGTGAGGGATGACTGAAACTTTTCCCTGTGTGTACGAAAGAGGACATGTTCATGTATTCTAAAAAACATTATCTCGAAGGTCTTGTTCTTAAGTCCTCTTGTAAAGTGTAAAAACCAGTTTTGGATGATTGAACAAATTGTAAATAACAATTTCTATTTATCTGTATCCATGTTGATGACAAATGCATGTCTACTAACTCTGTACATTTGTTCATAATATTTAGAGGCTGTTGACCTAGGTGTGTTTTGGTAGGTACCTGTGATTTCACTAAGTAGAATATGTTTTCGAATCTTATGTTTGTTTGTACCAGTCCGGCTAGATGTAAAGCATGTTGTTTGTATCTAGTCTAAGGAATGTCTTTCAGAAATCATACAAACAGTTAGTCACGTTTTACAAGAAATATGTTGAAGATGTGAACTGATATATAATCTGGAGCGAATTCTTGTGATATATGATGATAGCAATATTTGTGAAATTCCAAGATCTGAAGATGCTTTGTTCTGAAGATTGATAGTTATAGTACTGGTGATGTTCGTGTAATACAAAGTTAGCTGTGAGAACTGCAAATCAGCCCATGCCATGTCCAACCTGACATTGTCAGAGATGGCCTTGACAAACTTGATCTTGTCCATGATGGCCTTGACCTTGTCCAGGATGACCTTAACAAGCTTGACCTTCCCCAAGATGTACTTGACAAGTTTGACCGTGTCCAAGATGTACTTGTCCAGGCAGGTCTTGTTCAAAATAACCTTTTCTAGGACAACCTTGTCCAGGGTCACCTTGTCAAAGTTGACCTTGTCATAGAATATTTGTCACTTTGATGTACAAACAACACAGTTCAAATGACACCCAAGAAACCTGGGTTCATTTTCTAACATGTTTACAAGCCTCTTCCTGGTGAGTTCCTAGCATGACACTGCTGGAACATTGAAATAAATGGCTTTAAATTTAACTCACTAACACATTCTTGAGTGTACTAACTATATATTTGGTATCCCCTGCCTTGACTTTCCCTGCTCTTCCTGTAATTTTGAACTGACTTCAGAAGTCCTATGTCTGCTTGCTGTGTAACAATCTTACTCTGACATGATACCTCTCTGTTGGAAATCTGAAGACACCTTTATAGAAGATTTTACAAACCAATCCAAATGAATGGTATGTGGTGTGAATGACATCAGATGTGAGCTTTCTAAAATGTGTTTTTAGAAGAACTTGAAGAAAATTTACACAGTAGCCAAATATTCCTCTGGTGGCTCACTTGAGATCCACTCAAACAATACGCTGGTCTGACGGCATCACCAAATTGTAATGATGCATCCATGCTGGTTTGCTTCACCTGACATAACCTTCTGTGAAGGTGTGCTCAGAACCCAGAGGCGTACCATATCAGAGTGACAGATCCGCTTTTAGTGAAATTATCTGTGTAATTTCTTAATCTGCCTCAACAAGTGACATCGGATCAGATGCAATAACATATGCACTCATATTCAATATTCCATATATAGGGCAGTGTGTATATTTTCTTTTTCATTTGATGATGATATAAGGTTTATTATTAATGAATAGATTATTAAGGGTTTTTTCATACTATCAATAGTCAATTTTCTTTGTTAGAAATGTGAATTGTTTGGCATGTGCTACTACAACAGTCATGCATTGTCTGTGTCAGTTCATCTTCCTGAGAGGGGCGGTGGGGTAGCCTAGTGGTTAAAGCATTGGCTCGTCATGCCGAAGACCCGGGTTCGAATCCCCACATGGGTACAATGTGTGAAGCCCATTACTGGCGTCCCCTGCCGTGATGTTGCTGGAATATTGCTAAAAGCGCGTGAAACCAAACTCTCAGTCAGTCATTCAGTCATCTTCCTGAGAAGTCTTGGACGTTGAGTTTCCTCCCTTGCAGCCCAGGCTGTTCTCTATTGGCTATATTTGGCTGTCCAATGAATAGTCCAATCAAAATCCATGGAACAAAACCATCATTATCCAAATCTGGTTCTTAAACCACATAGCAATTGCTGTTCAGATATCAGACAGGATTTACAAAGCATGTGTAACTTCAACTGGATGTCAACAGATTTTGTTCCAAATCTTGACTTCTATTAATCCATTTTTCCAAGTCTTGTGCTACAACCCACACGAACGGAGTGTCTGTAAGGCAGGGAAGAAGGTGACACTTTTCATTGATCAGATTGTCTTGATGGGTGCAGCCATTTTGTTTGAAGCAAATGCAAGTGATATGAATCAGAATGCAAGGTGGAATCTGAATGGTCAGTTGGCGAGATATAACATGTAATAGCCACTACAACGATTCCAGCCATGTTCTGCAAGGTTGGTAACTGGACTGTTATGGTCAGTTAACTCCCATGTCTTGGAAGATATTTCAGTTATGGACGATTCATATGATTTATGCATGATTGGTTATGCATGATAAAGGGTAGGACACTGGCACAGTCTGTTTGCCTCAATCTGTTCATCTTATGTTAAAGGCATTCATAGGTTTCAGCATAGTACATTTTCAAGCAGTTTAAGGGGAATCCGAAGATGTCATTACTGTTCTGTCCAGTAAATATTTATAGTTACTTCTATCACTGTATTTAGCAGACTTCCTCAGGTGTAGTGACTTCTTGGACCCTTGCAAGATTCTAGAAGCATGAAGGTCTTGTTGGGCAGTGGTCCAAAGGAATTTGTATTGCAGAGCTTGAAAGAATATACCAAGAATATACATAAATT